AAACAGCCATGAAACTAATTTGTTTAAAGTACAAGACACTTTGAAAGCTGCTTAAAATCATCAATATAATATTCTTTATCACACAATACTGAAGTGAAAATGATTACTAATAATCCTAATATTAGGCACTGCCACACATGCAGATTTAGTGAAACACTCCGTTAGATTTGAAGTCACGCACTGGCAACTTATCTTTGGAGCTAAAATGATTTCAGGGCTTCAGGAGAAGAACCACTGCTAAAGAGATGAAAAGAATACTCTAATTTCTCATTCAGGGGAGAGAACAAGAAGCGTTAAAACCACTTCCTGTCTAGAAAACCACATGAACACACAACAAGGCTATGTAATGGTCCAATACATTGATGTAGGGTTGTTTCTATTTCCTAGGTTTGATACAGGCTACATGCAAAAGAACAATAATGCTAATTGAACTGAAACAAAACACTTCGATGGTCACAAAATGTGGTTCTTCATATCAGAAAACAACTGTTAATGTCACAAATGGCTTACTAGTTTTGACAGCAAGAACTATAATTACTAAACTAAATGAAATGTATTACAGTTAACCTCACACAGCTCATCACATCTGAACAAAACTATAAAACCAGTGAGTCTCCACTTCCATGAGGGGACAGAGGAAGTAAAAATACCACATTGAAACGGTTACAGTAGAAACAGGAAGAACTTTACACATACCAACACAGTAAAACATGGTCTTATGAAGTGGTTAAATGTGTATGGGAGAGGAGTAGGGCCACATGTGAAAAAACATTTGACATCTGAGCAAAGGTGGTTTGAGATGTGAGAAAAAAAAGTCTGAATTCTGCATTAAAGAAGTCTGAATTAAATAAGTCAGAATTCTGCATTAAAAAAGTCAGAATTCTGCATTAAAAAAAGGCTGAATTCTGACTTTAATCTCAGAGATTTTCCGAAGAGAAACTCCATTTATTTGTACTTTTGGTGTTATGCCAACAGATGTTTCTCATGTGGCCCTAACCCTCCTCCCTGGATGTGCCTCGATGCAGGGTCTGTGTACCTGGAACCTCTTCTGTTTCTGGGGGACCTGGTTCTCCAGCCGGCGCCCGGAGCTGCTGAAGGTCCTCCGAGCAATGCGCTGCAGCGCCTGGAAACACCAGGTACAGAAAGAGGCGTTACAAACAGAAAGAGGCGTTACAAACAGGAAGAGGGGTTACAAACAGGAAGAGGGGTTACAAACAGGAAGAGGGGTTACAAACAGGAAGAGGGGTTACAAACAGGAAGAGGGGTTACAAACAGGAAGAGGGGTTACAAACAGGAAGAGGGGTTACAAACAGGAAGAGGGGTTACAAACAGTAAGAGTAGATACAAACAGCAGGACACAGACTAACACACTGAATAGGCTTTATTAAATGTTAAATCACATTCAATCAAATCTCATTCATTCCTGTGAGCATGGTCAAATGGAGACCACAGCCACAACACAAGATGACCCTAACCCTACCCCTGCAGACTGGATGACCCTACCCCTACAGACTGGATGACCCTAACCCTACCCCCTGCAGACTAGAGTCCAATCCAGCACATTGACTACAAGGTCTTTGGTGTTTAGTGAATGCTGCCAAATCATCAAACTAGTTGTTTTAGTGGCCAAATATACAGCAATGTTCAGATCAATTATTTTAAATAAAAGCTGATTGGGTTCTTGTATTAATATCCTTCTTTAAGCATCTGTTACATAGTTTGTTTTAAGATGTCTTTTCACACTAACATGGTCTCATCATCGATAATAATGGGTATAATATATATATTATGTAAAGCTCGTAAAGCTACAGCGGAAGCTAAGCTAATGCTAGCTCTTCTTCCGAACGTTTCTTTGACCCCTAGATTAGTTGTAGTCTTCATTTAGCCGCGTCACTAACTCTCACATTGGATGTCTGCCTTATAAGTTTATATATAATCCCACAAAGCAAACAAAGACTTTAAATAGAGAATAAACTTACAAATATGTTTCTGTTCATCTTTAGTTCCGTCTGCAGTTGCCTCTCTTTCTATCAAGGACACGAGCAAATTACTTCCGCTTTTAGATCCGTGTTCTTCTTCTACGTGGAAATTAACGGCAGGCTTTATATATGCTGCGCGCTCTGCTGCCCCCCTCAGTCTTTAAGTGGAACTACACCCTCTAAATACAGTAGATACAGTGGATGGGTAGACAGTTAGATGCCTGCTTATATTGTGTTTTCCTGCTCATATTGTGTATATGGTGTTAAATCCTGCTCATATTGTGTCAACAGAAAATTGGCCCATCAATAGTGTTTGTTTATTTGTCAGTGACAGTTTATAGATTTGTATCTTCACGGTCATCTTTATATTTGTCTTACTCTCTAATGCTGCTTTTATTTCTATTTTGAGATGTTTCTATTTTAGAATGGTTTATTTCTGCTCTTTTAATTTGTTATTATGTGCAATGCCTTGTTTTGTTTTATGCTGCTGCAACAAAAACATTTCCAAAATTGGGATTAATAAGGTTAATCTTATTGTAGCTTCGATAGACAGACAGACAAACAGACAGACAGACAGACAGACAGTATACACATAATAAAATAAAAAATAAACGGCAAATAAAAACATATCAAATAATACACAATATAAAATATTTTGGATACATTTGGATGTTTTATGAAGAGCAAAATAGCAAAATAGTTATCACTACATGAACAGTATTTAATTTTACATTCTGTTCTTGTATATCTTATTCTATTTACATTTAGACTCCTGCATTTACTTGGTCACTTACAACATCCCCTGCATTATTTAGCTTATTTTATTTATTTATTTTCTGACATGTATATAGTTTACTTATGCATTACTTGCACATTGGTCTGCAACATAATATGCACTATTTTCATTGCCATTTATTCACTGTAGCTACTGTTCTTATGACAATAATGCCTTTGAATCCAGAAATACTGCAGCTACAGAAACATAGATGTATGCTACAGGAGAAGAAACATGTATGCATATGATAGTATTTAAATTACAGATGTAAAAACATATATAAATAGGATGGTATTTACATTTCTGATACTGATCTCCCACCTATTGTACATTATAACCATATGTAAAACTGAGCAGCCCGTGAGAAGCGGCCCAGGAAACCCCGTACGTACAGTGGAACAGCAGAGATCGCGTCGTTACGTCTTCGCCATTTTCTTTCACCGGGAGTAAAGAACCTGAAAAAGCACCGGGGATTTTATTTACCTTTTATTACCTGGAGCTCCTTCATCACGGCGGATCCGCATCGTGCAGGTTAGATCAGCGTGGTGAGTACAACCCGCAGAGGAACTATTTACCTGTGAAACATGCTGTGTTTTGTTGCTAAGTTACCTGCTAGAAAACATGGCAGTTAGCTTAGCATGGCTAGCCGGCATTTTGAAAACCAACGGGCCTGTTTTGACCAACGGTTAAATATGTGTGTGTGAAAATAGGGGTCAACAAATAACAAATGCATTGAATAATGAAGGTTTCAGATGCTTTTTTATCACCCTGATTCTGGTCCTGTAAGCCTGAGGCCTGCTGGTAACTAAGAGGCGTGCTGGATGTAATTCAGTGTAACGTAAAATGATAATTAGTGGATTATTATTATACTATTAGTGGGAAGCTAGGGTTAAATATGGAAGCCCATTTCCGCCATTGTGCAAAACACGGTATCATGTGAGTTGTTATTATGACTTTCTACCTCATTAATTCGACATACAGTGAGTCATTATTACAGTAAGTCAAAATAATGAGATAAATAAGTCCTAATATGAGATTGTATGTCGAAAAAAATGTCTTACTGGGTATCTTTTTTTCTTATTTCAATTTTTATCAATGGCGAAAAAAGGGGTTGAACAAATAATCAGAATCTGTTGTATCACCAACTAGGTTTACAAATACAAGGGATTGCTTTGGTGTAAGTGGTGCATACAAAGACACAGACATGTAGTAAAACATTGTATGTATAAAAGCTATTTTAAGACAATATTTACACAAAATATAATTATGTGAGAAACTGGGTACAATCAAATATGACAAATACTGTATTCTAAGTGGAGGGCTGTGCTGATTTAAACAGGGGTAGTGTGGAGCAGAAATGTGCACAATGTGTCTTTATAAATGGGGGGAAAGGGTTCAAAGAACAACCAATGCATTAAATAATTCAGTCAGACAGAAGTACTCAGATCTCGTACTTTATTGTTATTATTTTGTTTATCTTTCACGATCAACATTTATTTAACTTTTAAGTTCTGTTTTATTTTTGTTTATTTTTCACTCTTTATTTTCACATTATGTGGGCTTACATGCTGCTGTGATTAAAAAACATTCCCAATTTGGGATCAATAAAGTATATCTTATCAATTGGTATAAATATGATATAAATAAATGTGTTTATAAAACGAAAAATAGGGGTTAATTAAACAACAAATGCATGTTTGTGACATGCAATGTAGAATTTATATATATATATATATATATATCTTTTTTATATCTGTTATGGAAGTTGAGCAAACAAGATTTGGGACACGCCAGTTTGGCCTACTTGTGCTCAAATCAGAGTAATTATTTAGTATTACTGGGTATATAACATTTTTTAATGGTAGAGGGGGATTAAACATGTCAACCCAAGCTTTACTAATTACCATTAGCCCTTTTAAAATAACAAATATATGATATAATGTCTTTGAGACCTAATTGGCACCGAATGCTAGGAATATGACCCCTACTATTTTACATAAAAAATTCCACTTATTTTAAGACTCCCATGTTTGAATTGCATCATTATCTTTTTTTAATGAGCATTGTTGGAGGGAGATCTAAGCCTTGCTTTGCCAACAATCCTCTGTTATTGCTGTGTATATGATAATAAGAATAACTTGAAACACAGCCGCCACTCCAGTTTTTAAACGATGGCGCCAAACCGCCCACTAAATAGTTTCTGTTGTGGTGTTGTTGTTGACTCTGTTATTATGTGTTGTGCACAGATGTCTGGAGACATGGCCACAGATCAGGTGAATGGGAACGGAAACGTTTCTGAGGAGCCGATGGACACCACCGAGGTGACCCGCTCCGAACACTTCCCAGCTCTTCTGGAGGCTGGTTTACCTCAAAATGTTGCTGAGAAGCTGGATGAAACTTTATGTAGCAGGTAAGCACAACGTGTGTGTGTGTGTGTGTGTGTGTGTGTGTGTGTGTGTGTGTGGTGTGTGTGTGTGTGTGTGTGTGTGTGTGTGTGTGTGTGTGTGTGTGTGTGTGTGTGTGTGTGTGTGTGTGTGTGTGGGTGTGTGTGTGTGTGTGTGGTGTGTGTGTGTGTGTGTGTGTGTGTGTGTGTGTGTGTGTGTGTGTGTGTGTGTGTGTGTGTGGTGTGTGTGTGTGTGTGTGTGTGTGTGTGTGTGTGTGTGTGTGTGTGTGTGTGTTGTGTGTGTGTGTGTGTGGTGTGTTGTGTGTGTGTGTGTGTGTGGTGTGTGTGTGTGTGTGTGTGTGTGTGTGTGTGTGTGTGTGTGTGTGTGTGTGTGTGTGTGTGTGTGTGTTTTTATTTACCTGCTCATAAAGACAGAAATCACAACACTTTGATTGGCCCGTTTCAGAATTAAATATATATATTGTATTTTATGAATGTGTCATTAATCACTTTCATGTTGCAGCTGGTAAAGATGAAGCTCCTTTGAGTTCATATACTGCAAAGTAACTAACTATAGCTCAAATGAATGTAGTGTAAAAAGTACAATATTTTCCTCCATCTGTAGTGAAGTGAGAGTATGAAAGCAGCATACAATGGCAATACTGTAAAGTGAAAGTACCTCAACTTTTACTTAGGTACACATCCTTAAACAATAACGATGGCAATATATATATTTTTTTTGGCAAGATAATTAGTCAAAGTGTTGAGAGGGAGAACGGGATGGGTTAAAACTAAGAGAAATGATTCTCTCATCAGGGTCTTTATAGTGTAATTGGCTAATACCTGAATAATAACAGTGTATTAAAAAGCAGTTAGACTAATCCTTTTAGCAGCTGGGTGTCAGAGGTAGCAGTGTGTTTGTAACTCATAGATAATCCCTCTGCTGCCCATGTTTGAAAGTTCCTTTTCAAGAAACCTCAAACCTCTTAAATCAATACCAATCAATATTGACTATTCTCTCAGTATAGTCCTGCTGTTTCACATAGAAGCTGGAGTGAATGGGTGTAGTTATGAAGGGTTTAGGAGGCAGCTGGTGTGACCTACGCAGAAACAAAAGGGCAGCTGTCCTTCAGCAGCAGGTGAACTGAACTCTCTGAGCAGCAGCTGAAACAGTAGTGGCTTCTTTCAAAGCTTTTACAGCATCTTGTAATCTAGTAGTATCACCTTTTTAGTTTAATGATTTATAAACACTGTCCTTTTGATTGTGCCGCATGATATCTTTCGCATGTCTTTATGAGAGTTATTGTGTTGAAACGTGACACTGAAAGAGGCTGTAAACTATTATCAGATGTAGTAAGGAAACTTCTGAGGGATAGCATTTCCTTTCTCCTATATATATATATATATATATATGTATGTATGTATGTATGTATATATATATATATATATATATATATATATATATATATATATATATATATATATATATATATATATATATATATATATATATATATATATATATATATATACAGCTTTATGATGATTATTATGTATGGCTGCTATCTCTTAGTTAGACCATTCAACTACTGTAACACTAACTGCAATATATACTTTCACTTTCACTACAGTTACCTTGCTGCTATCACACTACTTTATACATGCCACATTTAAAATACTGTTACTGTACTTATTGCTGTCCTTCTGGATGTTAAGTTTCTATCTCTAATATTTTATGCATGCCTCTTATTTAATATGTTTGCTATTTTGCCTCTTAACTTTTGCTGTAACAATGTACACTTCCCCTCTATGAGACTAATAAAGGTGTTCTGATTCTATTTCATAACACGGCATGAATGCATGATAATAAGAAGTGATCAAATGATTAAAGCAGGGAAGTGTTACAGCTTCATCCAGCCCAGAATAATCTGATTAATACTACACACAAACAAAAGCAAACCAGACACTTTGTTTTATCTCCTTCTAAGACACATTTTTCAGATTGTGCAACTGCTTCATATTCGTCTCAGTCACACATCCTTTATCTTGACTACATCATGCCTTCTTTGTTCTGTTTTCACACCGTATTTACCACATGTCTTGGTTGTGTTCCTCAGGCCTGGTAGCCCACAGTGATCTGGACGAACGGGCGATCGAAGCTTTGAAAGAGTTCAACGAGGACGGAGCCCTGCAGGTGCTCGCACAGTTCAAAGAGAGCGACCTGTCACACGTGCAAGTACGTTCAGTCATCTGAAAGTTATTTTATTATTGTTATTATATGTCTTTATTGAACAAGGACCATGCATACAAATACATTAAAGGGGACCTATCATTCAAAATGCACTTTGTGATGTCTTTTCTACATCAACATGTGTCCCCGGTGCGTCAGGGAACTCACGCAGCGTCAGAAAATAAAACCCTCTCTCTTTTCCTCCGTACCCAAATCTCTAAAAACGGGGGAACAACGGAGCTGATCCAGATTTGCGTCCGATATGACGTAATATCTGAAATGTGGACCCACGGCCCTATCAGAAACGTTGCTATCAGAAACAATGCCTGACTGTTTTGGACGTAATATGGTCTTTGTTTACATTAGCATGGCTAACACTCAGAGCTAACCTGTACTGGAGAGCATGTGTGTGAAGAAGCAGGAAATAAAAAGGAACTCACCTTGTGGTATAACCGGCAAGAGAGAAAGCCTTTGAGCTCCATACTGTTTCAGAGAGAATCCTTGATAATCCATGATATGGCGTTTCATCACGGCAGTATTTAGTTTAGACCAGGGGTGGGCATTTTACGGCCCGCGGGCCACATCCGGCCCGTTGGCCGGCCTTGGCCGGCCCGTGTGAGGTTGATCATAAATTACAACAAAATGAAAAAAAAACAGCAACCTTTTCAAAATAAAAGCAACACAGCTGTATTGCTTGCATGGCGTAAATACTTTTCTAACTGTGTTGCTTTTATTTTGAAAAGGAAGCTGCTGTTTTTTTTATTTATTTACGTAAACGCGCATGCCGTAACAGCTACGAGTGATGCTGGCCGGCTAGTCCTCGAAATGTCCGCTAAGGGAAAAAAAAGAAAGATCGATACTGAATGCCGCATTTTCAACAAGACATGGACCGCTAAGTATTTATTTACAGAAGTGAAAGGTAAAGCTGTGTGTTTAGTTTGTGGTGCGCAGGTCGCTGTGTCCAAGGAGTACAATTTGAGTCGCCACTATGCTACCAAACACGCAGATAAATACAAGAACCTGTCTGAGGAAGAGCGGGCAAAGGGGTCGGATGCTTTGCTAGCTAAGCTGCAAAGCCAACAACACATTTTCACAAAACATTCCACATCCAGAGATGCAGCTGTCAAGACGAGTTATGTCTTAAAAGTTAACCGTTTTCGGACGAAGAGTTCATTAAGGAGTGTTTGTTGGACACTAATATGCCCGGAGAAAAAGGAGGCATTTGAGAAAGTGCCGCTCTCCCGACGCACTGTTACGAGGAGAATTGAGGACATCGCGGGAAATCTGGAGCTTCAGCTGCAGAACAGAGCGGTCAACTTTGACTTTTTTTCCTTGGCTTTGGATGAGAGCTGCGATGTACGTGACACTGCCCAGCTACTCATCTTCCTACGTGGGATAACTACAGACTTCAAAATCACGGAGGAGCTGGCAGCCATGCAGTCAATGAAAGGTACAACAACAGGGAGTGATTTGTTCACGGAGGTAAATGCATGTGTGGAAAAGTTGGGACTGAAATGGGACAAGCTGACAGGCGTGACAACGGATGGTTGTCCAAATCTGACAGGGAAAAATGTTGGACTATTGAAGAGAATGCAGGATAAAGTGACAGAAATTAACCCTGAGCAGAAATAGGTATTTTTGCATTGTATTATACATCAGGAAGTGTTGTGTAAGTCAGTGTTAAAAATTAACCATGTTGTTGATGTTGTAACTAAAATAGTTAACTTCATCAGGGCAAGAGCATTGAATCACAGACAGTTTGTTGCACTTTTGGAGGAAAGTGAGACTGAACATCGTGACATACCCTACCATGCAGCTGTCAGGTGGCTCAGCCTGGGCAAAGTGCTGAAAAGAGTAGGGGACCTGAGAGAAGAGATTCAAGACTTCTGTGTGAAGAAAGGAAACGACATCCCACAGCTTTCAGATGCAGACTGGATGGCAGACCTTGGTTTTGCTGTAGATGTGACTGCACTAATGAGTGAACTAAATGTCAAAATGCAAGGCAAGGGCCTTTTTGTGCATGACATGTACAGTGCAGTGAAGGCTTTCATGAGAAAGCTGCAGCTTCTCTCAAGCCAAATGGAGGACAACATTCTCACGCACTTGCCAACACTGAAGGAAGCCACACCATCAGCTGATCACCTCCAGAGGTACTCATCCATGTTAGAAGCACTGCATGGTGAGTTTTCAAGGCGATTTAAAGACTTCAAAACAGTTGAGAATGAAATGAACATGATCTTTTCCCCATTTACATGCCATGTGGATGATGCACCCAGTGATGTTCAGCTTGAACTCATTGACCTGCAGTCTGACACACTTCTGTCAGAGCACTTTAGGTCAGTCTCACTGCCTGAGTTTTACTCTTCCCTGAAAGAGGAGAACTTTCCACACATCAGGAGACGTGCTCAGAAGATGATGGTCCTCTTTGGATCTACCTACATATGTGAACAGACATTCTCAGTGATGAAGTTCAACAAATCCAGATACAGATCCTCTATCACTGATGATCACCTCTCAGCTGTCCTTCGCATATCCACCTCAGACATTGAACCAGATTTCCGTGCACTTGTTCAAGCCCAAGACAGACTGGATTTTTCTCACTGAACAAGTAAAATGAACTGAAAAACAAAAATCAAAAGCACTGTAAAACACCTTTTCAGTATTGGTATATTGAGCAGAATTAAGTTCAACTTATTTTGATTCGGCCCCCCAACACAGCTCGAGTTTCTGAAGTGGCCCCTTGTAAAAAATAATTGCCCACCCCTGGTTTAGACAGTAGCTGCCGGTAGAATCTCCCGGGTTTCTGCAGTCCCTGGGCAGGTAGACACAAAACAATCAACAAACATTAACAGCTCATAATGCCGATCACACTAGCAATTAAAACGGATCAAATACAGATGTATAAAATATAAATACTAGTACATTTGTCAATATAAATATCATTTTACATCCCATTTAAACTAACATCTTAAAAATAAATGTTGGTTGGTTTAAAAAAATGTTGCACAATCTGCGCTGATTTTAAGATCATCTGAAGGCAGATTCCAATGTTTGAGTCTTTGTTTAAAATTCTGTTTTAGTACACGCTGCATAATTAACATTTTATCTGTAAAGTGCATTATCGGGTGCTCAAACACTTGTTACAGTGGTAAAGATATAAAGTTATATTTGTATATAACAGTATGATATTGTATCTGTACCATGTTGTGTGAGACTCACTGTCAAGCTACTTGTTCAAATAAATGTTACACACAAAAAAGAATCGGGCAAATCACTTTTTTTTTTTCATGCTTTAACTTCAACATGATTTAACCCGGTCTGTCTCCCTTCCAGAACAAAAGTGCCTTCCTGTGCGGCGTGATGAAGACGTACCGGCAGCGGGAGAAACAAGGCACTAAAGTTACAGATTCCACTAAAGGACCCGACGAGGCCAAAATCAAGGAGCTGCTGGACCGTACCAACTACACACTGGACGTCACAACGGGGCAGCGCAAGTACGGAGGACCCCCGCCGGAGTCCGTGTATTCAGGAGCCCAACCCAACGCGGGAACAGAGGTACGATTCAGAGGAAGTCCCACTGTCAGCGGGAGATTTAAACTGAGCTAGTGGTCACTTTAACTGGGAAAAAAGTTCATTAATTTCCATCAATAATAATAATAAACTTTATTTATATAGCACCTTTCATGCTTGACGCAGCCCAACGTGCTTTACAGAGTAGATAGATAGATAGATAGATAGATGGATAGATAGATAGATAGATAGATGGATAGATAGATAGATAGATAGATAGATAGATAGATATAAAAAATATATATAAATAATGATTAAAAAAAAACTCAAAACATAAATAACATTTATTTGTATTTATTTTTCCTGCTCAATAATAACAAAAGCAAGTCATAGAGCGTGTGATTATTATTATTATTAAATATTTTTCTTTGTTTCTCTGGTAGATATTTGTTGGGAAGATTCCCCGGGACTTGTTTGAAGACGAGCTGGTTCCTCTCTTTGAGAAGGCGGGGCCTATCTGGGACCTGCGGCTGATGATGGATCCTCTGAGCGGCCTGAACCGCGGCTACGCCTTCGTCACGTTCTGCACTAAAGAGGCGGCGCAGGAGGCCGTCAAGCTGGTGAGTCGCTGCTCCAAAAACACCTAATACTGTCTCAGGAATCAAGTCAAGCATCAAGTGTGTGTTGGGCGACATTCCATTTCATAATCCAATCACATTTAACCAGGAACTTTGGAGTAAATTGTCCAAAATAAGCAAAAAAGTTGGAAACGGTTAGTTGTTGAACATATTTCATATCAACACATTTATTAAATTCTGATATACTCAATTGTCATATATCTATTGTACTTTTTGTTGTATATTTAGATTGTTGTGGTAAACAACACAGCAAGTGTGTGTTGGGCAACATTTGACCAAAAGCTTCGGACTAAATTGTCCAAAATGACTAATTAAGTTGAAAAAGAGCCGTATTCCTCTCCTGTAGTGTGTTGTATAGACTTCAATCTGTAATAATGTTGTGTTTTATATCTTCTAAGTGTGTTGTTTTAATGAATTTTTACTCTGTAAAGTGTCTTTGAGTTTCAAAAAAGGCACTCTATAAATAAAATGCATTATTATTATTATTATTATTATTATTACTAGTATCAGGAGAAAAAAAGACCGTTTTAAAGAAACCGTTATTTGTTGTCAACACATTGGATTAAATTCTGAGTCAATTGTCATATTACTATTGTACTTATTTTGGTATATTTAGATTTCTGGTAAACATTTGTTCTTATTTAATTCCTGTTTTTTGTTTCTTATTTAAAAATAAAATGTTTTTACAAATAGTTCTAAATGTGCTCCTTTTTCACCGTTTATTCCCTCTAACTGTGTTTATGTATGAACCATTGCACACTGGAGTTAAACCTGATTCTGATGTGCTTTATTATTCTTCTCTCCAGTGCAATAACCACGAGATTCGCCCTGGTAAACACATCGGTGTGTGTATATCTGTCGCCAACAACCGGCTATTCGTTGGCTCCATTCCCAAGAGTAAAACGAAGGAGCAGATCGTGGAGGAGTTCTCTAAAGTCACAGGTAAACACATCTCATCTGGTTTTAATCATTTAATTGTGAACTGTCGAGACGTCTTAATAATAAAGCTTTATTTATATAGCATGTAATACATATACTCATATACAGTAGATGTGTATGAGTATATGTATTTGCACATGTAATACATGTGCAAATACATATACTCATACACATCTACTGTATACACACACACTTGCATACATACATATGCTGCAGATAAGCTATACTATAGGTAGTGGAGAAGACTTCTTAATCTTGATGACTTCCTGTTGGTAAATGTGTCCTTTCTGACGTTTTTACAGAGGGTCTCAGTGACGTCATACTGTACCATCAACCCGACGACAAGAAGAAAAACCGCGGTTTCTGCTTCCTGGAGTACGAAGATCACAAAACGGCCGCTCAGGCTCGCCGTCGGTTAATGAGCGGAAAGGTGAAGGTTTGGGGGAACGTGGTGACGGTGGAGTGGGCCGACCCCATCGAAAACCCCGACCCAGAGGTCATGGCAAAGGTGAGCGTTAACGGTATTCTGTTTGTCCTAAAAACTAAATCAAAATGCCTCTGTTAGGCTGATCTCACACAGGACTAATCCCACTGTCCAGGGAAGACAGGCGGTGATTTTTAACCTCTGTGTGCCGAGGGAAACTGTCCAATTTTACTCAATCTGTCCCAAAAAATATGATTTAGTTGCTGCTAAAAAAAATCCAACAATGCCATGGTCCCAACAAGCTTAACGTCCACTCAAGAAACTTCCCGTCACTTCAAAAACAAAAACACACAGAGAGACACACAGACACACACAGACACACACAGACACACACAGAGAGACACACACACAGAGAGAGACAGACAGAGAGACACACACAGAGAGACACACACACACAGACACACACAGAGAGACACACACACAGAGAGAGACAGACAGAGAGACACACACAGAGAGACAGACAGACACAGACACACACAGACACACAGAGAAGACACACACACACACACACACACACACACACACACACACACAGAGACACAGACACACAGAGAAGAGACACACAGACACACACAGACACACACACACACACACACACGCACACGCACACGCACACACACACACACACACACACAGAGAAGACACACAGACACACAGAGAAGACACACACACACACACACACACACACACACACACACACACACAGAGGACACACACAGAGAGAGAGAGAAACAACAGACAACTCTGATAAAGGCATGTGAGTTGAATGTGTTTGAGGAGAGGCTGATGGCTTTGTTTCTGTCCTTTCTTTCAGGTGAAGGTTTTATTCGTGAGGAATCTTTCTGCCGGAGTCACAGAGGAGCTGCTGGAGACGTCCTTCAGTGAGTTTGGGAAACTGGAGCGAGTGAAGAAGCTCAAAGACTACGCCTTCATCCACTTTGAGGAGAGGGACGGGGCCGTGAAGGTATGTTGACTTGAATATATATTTGATCTCGTTGATGAACCTAAACACTTTGAGGAAATGCTAACAGTGTGTGTGTGACTCGCTGCGGGTTCCCTCAGGCGCTGGAGGAGATGAACGGGAAGGAGATGGAGGGCGAGCGGATCGAGATTGTTTTCGCAAAACCTCCGGATCAGAAGAGGAAGGAGCGCAAAGCCCAGAGGCAAGCAGCCAAAACCGTCATGTAAGAGTGCAAATCAACGCCTCTTTACAAGATACTTAACAACTACTCTAGTGATCCCAATTTGGCAACAGTTTAAAAAGACGAGGCATTGCACGTTAGAAAACTTAGAGGCTTAGAATTGTATTTCTTTTTGAGATGTTTACATTTTTGTATTGTTTATTTCTAGTCTCTCTCTCTCTAGCGCTCTCTCTCTCTTGCTCTCTCTCTCTCTCTCTCTCTCTCTCTCTCACGCTGCACCGTACCCCGCTCATTACACGGCCAGATACTAAACAAACTAACGACTCGACTCCCCATATTAATTGAAATTATTTTATTGACTTAAAAATGATAGCATTTCTTCCGCTTAGAAAAAAAACACTCAGTTCCACGGCGCACCAACGGCTGGAAGTCGTACTGTCCAAGACCCGTTACAGTTTCTGATCCACAAACAAGTGCTTAACTCTCATCTGACTGATCTTTATTTTTTATTTTTTCAACAAAAACCCACAATGCTAAAGCTGAGCCTCTGAATTAGCAACGAGCGAAAAATGCTAACAGATTACTGCACAGAAACTCACTCATAAAACCCTTATTATTTATCTTTTCTGCACATCCAACACATCGATTCACATCGTGAGATGACATAGAATCGAAGGGTACATACATTATCACTCTATGATACGAACTCGCGACTTTATAAACAAAAACAGACATCAAAACATGTGGCGCTAGGTAGCTAAAACCGGCAGCATGGCCTACCTTGGTCGTAGTCTGCTCCAAAGTGGTCTTCAATGGCATTAACACGATAGAAACGCTGCTGAAGTTAATCCATAGGTTAATCCAATGTGTCTGTGTCCCTTTGAAATGATTTCTGATAATCCATAAGCAATAAAACTGATTTTTAGTTTCCAGATGTCAGAGCTAGAGATAGGTTCACTCTCATGCAAAATTACATGCGCAAAGCCCGCACCTTTTTTTGTAACGTTGGTGTGTATGTGAAAATTCCCCTTCGATTCTATTGGCTCTAACGGTCAGAAAGAGGTGTCAATCACCAAAATCGACCAATGGGTTCCAGAGAAACGGTAAAAACGCCCATTTTCACCCAAATCACCTCAAAGGTGGGGTGGTTTTGGCTAAACCTCTCTAAAAAGGTCAAATGTCACTTGTTTTGCATCAATCTTGATACAGGATACTTATTATATGTTGTACTTTGGATTCCTAAAGCTTTCAGTCTACTAACCCATCATCCAAGGGTAGTTTTCACTATAAGTAAAAAATAATTACAATAAAATGTAAAATCTGAATTTTCTTTAAAATAAAAAACATCTATATTGATTCTGACTTTTCTACATCCAACTCACAGGTTTATCATTACTTTGAGAATAAGATTATTAATTTACCCTTTTAGAAGGGAAGATATGGTCATTTGTTCTGGGAATGTCATTTTCGAGCCTGAGACCTGAAAAACAGGCTCAGGGCTAAACAGGTTAAACTGCAGAGAACATACCGTGTTCCTGTTAGTGTTTACTTCCTCTCTGCCTTCATCAGGTGGTTTATCTGACGTCCAGCGCTCTTTCTTCCATCAGAATCAGAATCGAGTATACAACTAACCCGTGTAATAAATACATATAAACTAGGGGTCTTTCGATTCGATTTCTTGGGGTCACGATTCGATTCACAAACGAGTAGAGATTCAAAATAGCTCAGGAGTCCGACCTGTGAGGCATGAAGAGCGGACAGAGTGAAGAGGAGTTCCCTCTGTGTTTCCCTGGATGCTGCATAACGTCTAAGTGCCATGTAGGGCGCAACGATATTGGAAAAAACTGACATTGCGATATTCTTTCCCCCGCGATATGAAAAAATACAGGAATTGAAGAAAAGACCGTTTTTTCCCCGCAAACCGTCCTTTCTTGAACTTTAAAGCTATACAATTGGTATTTGTCTAACTATATTTAACCGGATGAAGGATTTTAGTCACGGACGTCTGGATCTTAAGTTATCAGAGCAACAAGCTGAGCGAGCTCGGTTAGCAGCGCCGAAGTGTTTCTACCTTTAATCACCCGGTCCGTTTGCTTTGGAGATGTGATTGTGATTGGTGGTTTGCTGTCACTCACTCAAGGACGCCTGACATGAGTTTTCCTTTTGTAGCAAGTAGCAAAATAATTGTAACGTGACGTGTTTGAGTTAATTTGCCCACTTAATATCGCACGTCCTAAAAAACATTATTTGCGATTTTTTTTTAATCGCACTTCCTGTGATGTGAATATCGCGCATACTCATTTCGTGATTATCGTCACGAAACGATATATCGTGCAGCCCTAGTGCCATGATAGCGGGACATTACGGAGCTCACGCGTTGCGGCAAGACTGAAAAATGTGGTTTGAAAAATGGGAATCGATTCTTGGAATATCCTGAATCGGCAGAGATTTTTTTGTACGCACCTCTAATATAAACAATGTACTCTGTGTCTCTCTCCAGGTACGACGATTATTACTACTACCCTCCCCCGTCCCACATGCCTCCCCCGGGCCGAGGTCGGGGTCGAGGAGGGAACCGTGGCGGCGGTGGCTATTCTAACTACCCGCCCGACTACTACGGCGGCTATGATGACTACTACGACTACTACGGCTACGACTACCACAACTACCGCGGCGGCTACGAGGACCCGTACTACGGCGGTGGCGGCGGCTACGAGGACTTCCAGGCGCCCAATCGTGGACGAGGGGGCGGCGGCAGCAGGGGCCCCAGAGGAGGAGGCTCTTCTCCGGGCAGAGGAAGAGGCGTCGGGCCCCCTAGAGGACGAGGAGGTGGAGGGGGAGGAGGTGGAGGAGGAGGAGGAGGATTCTCCCCGAGAGGAATGGGACGCGGAGGACGAGGAACACGAGGAGGAGGAGGTCTGCAGCCGAGAGGGCGAGGAGGGGTACGTGGTGCTCGGGGTGGCCGCGGTGGAAATGTAGGAGGAAAACGTAAAGCTGATGGGTACAACCAGCCCGATTCCAAGCGGCGCCAAACCAATAATCAGAACTGGGGCTCTCAACCCATTGCTCAGCAACCGCTCCAAGGCGGAGATCATTCTGGTAACTATTCCGGTTACAAATCCGACAACCAGGAATTTTATCAGGATTCCTTCGGGCAGCAGTGGAAGTAAAAGTAAAAAAAAAAAAAGTAGGGCTACGATTTTATTACGTTATTGTCAGATCAAGTCTGATATTTGTTTCCTTGCAGCTCCACTCGCAACATCTCAAACAAAGGACAGATTTTAAGGAACATTTAACATTATTACAATCCCTGAAAAAAAACAAAAAAACACCTTGAAGACCCTCTAATGTTTCGACCCGGGCTTTGATTACAAAGTCCGTGTTTCTGTCTTTATTTAGAGACGTGATCTGATTGGCCCTCACTCCCTGCCTTTTTGTTTTTCCTCAAAAAAAATTGGTGATTTTATGAATGATCTTTTTGTACATATTTGAATAATCCGCTTGGACTCAAACCGTAGTCTCACCCCAACTTGTTTCTGGCGAACTGGTTTTTTCCTTTTTATTTTATTTCATCGTTTTAAAAAAAGATTTTCCGTAACAACGTTTGAAAACTTTTAGATGCGGATATGTGCTCGAGCTGTTTGGCTTATAGCTTTATGTATGTTTTTAGAGATTCTGGTTTCAATGTTAAGTAGCTAACAGCAACAAAGCATATGTCTCCTAAACATGTATTTAAAACAAATGAAAATACAATTTGTATTGTCACAAAGTAATGTCTTGTTATTGAAAGAAGAAAGAAAAAAAAAAAAAAAAAAAAGGGACCCTCGCAGTTCCATTTTTTGGCTTTTACATTTTGGCTTGTATTCTTTGCTGTTTGTCTGCTTTAATAAACATACACAAAAACTTCAAATTGTGTTGCAAATTCATGTTTCGGCAAATTCTCTCTTCAAATTGCCTTCAAATTTTTAGGGAAATGGACTAAAGGTTTGCCAACGCTGGCTCCATGCTACAGAGTCACCTTGCATGCCTTCAAATTCAAAAGCACTTCTTCTGATAGTCTCTGGCCGTTTCTCAATGTCGAGGAGGCTTGCTTGGTAGCACATGTATGCTGGGCATTTAAACAGTCCTTCGGCGCCACTCGATGACCTAGTATGCTTGAAATAGTGGCTCTGGGGCAGCTTTACTCGACATTGAGAAACAGCCACGGTGTGTGTGTGTGGTGACATACTCCATCCTTATGACTTCCTCATGTCCAAAAACATCAACATTTGGTGTCCTAAATTCACCGTCAGTGCAGCGTTGATAGTGAGCCCCTACGAGGGTACTCTTTCCAGTGGAGGGGAATAAAAAAACAAAAAGCACAATTTGATTTATTCAGAAGCTTTTCCCAGAAGGATCGACCTAGCTGAAGGAGACTAATCTGCATGCGGAGGGTTGATGTTGCCCTGCATGCTTTGTGCTTTTGAACCCCCTCTCTCCTCCTAACCCTTCCCTTCCTCTGCCTGTCTGAGCGCCTTTTCACCTGCTGCCCCTCCGAGTTAATTCAATCCGTCTTCTCCAGGCATTCTCTGCATGTTTTTAACCCTTTCAATGTGTGCAGATTCACCCTCTGTAGTGTGACATGTGATATGATCCTGTTTTCCATTCTCTAATTGCTTCCTTTTGTTACCTGACTAGCAGGAAAAAGAGGGGGAGGCTGGTCCTGATGTGTCGCTATGAAGAAGACCCAGTGTGAGGCTCTGCTACACACTTTCTGCTACACACTGCTGCCCCCCCCCCCCCCCCCCCCCGGAGGAAATGGTAAGGTCAACGACTCAGCGCTCCAAACGTTATCCAGCCTTTTTTTAAACGGGAGCCACGTCTCCTAAAAACTGCCATGCTCCGAGATAATCAAGAACTTCCTTTTTAAGAATCCCCAGAAAATGAGTTGATGTTGAAGCACTTTTTTTACAGTGTGGTGTGCTTTATTTCATGCCATCGACTAGTTACGTTGAGGCACAGTTCACCCTGTAGTGCAGCTTATTAAATTCAGATTGTTTAGATGTGGTTTCCTCACTGAAATGTCTTCCCTCTCTCCAACATAAAGGAACTACATGGCTCTCAACCTTTGAAAAACCTCCACAGTTGTGTCTCTTTTCAGTCATTCAGAGCCACTTTCTTAAGGTCATACACAGGCCGTGTTGTGAGCACTTTTAGTGAGTAGATGCACGCTTCGGTAGATATAAAATAATCCGTGCCAAAATATTTTAAACACGCTTCCTCCAGTTCATTAACGAGAAAAAAACTAACAAATTACTCAGAAAAAGCTCAAAGAATATCTAACATTTAAATGAGAACAAATATTATAATACGGAAAATCTCTGTATATTCTCTGAGATGAAAGTGGTTATATTTGAACATTTACGAGAAGACAATGTTCGTATTCATTGAGATTAACGTGGTCAATTTATTGTAAATAAATCACAAATTTAAGAGAAAAAAAATCATATTTTCTCAGAGATTTAATTATAGATTACTAGAAAAAACTCTAGCGGGAAATAATGTGAAAAAAAACAATTAATGATATAACATGCTTCAGAAAAGATGTGCAAACATTTAATTATACAAGAAAAGTACATTAAAACAGTGTAGAGTAAACCTGTGTGTTTGTGTCTTTTATAACAAAGTGCATGTTCAGACTGACTGTGTGTGGGGGTTCAGACTGACTGTGTGTGTGTGGGGGGTTCAGACTGACTGTGTGTGTGGGGGGTTCAGACTGACTGTGTGTGTGTGGGGGGTTCAGACTGACTGTGTGTGGGGTTCAGACTGACTGTGTGTGGGGGGTTCAGACTGACTGTGTGTGTGTGGGGGGTTCAGACTGACTGTGTGTGTGGGGGGTTCAGACTGACTGTGTGTGTGGGGGGTTCAGACTGACTGTGTGTGGGGTTCAGACTGACTGTGGGGTTCAGACTGACTGTGTGTGGGGTTCAGACTGACTGTGGGGTTCAGACTGACTGTGTGTGGGGTTCAGACTGAGTGTGTGTGTGTGTGTGTGGGGTTCAGACTGAGTGTGTGTGTGTGTGTGGGGTTCAGACTGACTGTGGGGTTCAGACTGACTGTGTGTGGGGTTCAGACTGACTGTGTGTGTGTGTGTGTGGGGTTCAGACTGACTGTGTGTGTGTGTGGGGTTCAGACTGACTGTGTGTGTGTGTGTGTGGGGTTCAGACTGACTGTGTGTGTGGGGTTCAGACTGACTGTGTGTGTGTGGGGTTCAGACTGACTGTGTGTGGGGTTCAGACTGACTGTGTGTGTGGGTTCAGACTGTGTTTGTGTGTGGTTCAGACTGTGTGTGGGGTTCAGACTGACTGTGTGTGTATGTGGGGTTCAGACTGACTGTATGTGTGTGTGGGGTTCAGACTGACTGTGTGTGTGGTTCAGACTGTGTTTGTGTGTGTGTGGTTCAGACTGTGTTTGTGTGTGTGTGGTTCAGACTGTGTGTGTGGGGTTCAGACTGACTGTGTGTGGGGTTCAGACTGTGTGTGTGTGGTTCAGACTGTGTGTGTGTGTGTGTGGTTCAGACTGTGTGTGTGTGTGTGTGGTTCAGACTGTGTGTGTGTGGTTCAGACTGTGTGTGTGGGGTTCAGACTGTGTGTGTGTGGTTCAGACTGTGTGTGTGTGTGTGTGGTTCAGACTGTGTTTGTGTGTGTGGGGTTCAGACTGACTGTGTGTGGGGTTCAGACTGACTGTGTGTATGTGGGATTCAGACTGTGTGTGTGACTGTGTGTGACTGTGTGTGGGGTTCAGACTGACTGTGTGTGGGGTTCAGACTGACTGTGTGTGGGGTTCAGACTGACTGTGTGTGGGGTTCAGACTGACTGTGTGTGGGGTTCAGACTGACTGTGTGTATGTGGGATTCAGACTGTGTGTGTGACTGTGTGTGACTGTGTGTGGGGTTCAGACTGACTGTGTGTGGGGTTCAGACTAACTGTGTGTTGAACAATTAATTTATCAGAATAGAATTCAAATATTCACTGAGACCTAACTGACAACAAAAATATTCATTAAGAAATGTACTCGAAAAAACTCAAATATTCCCTGAGATGAAGTGGAAACTATGAATAAATTACAACAATTTAAGCGGTTGATTTACAAGAGTTCAAATTCCACAGAAATAGTTAAAATATTCTCTAACATGAAAGTAATAAGTAAATGAAAGAGTGGTGCCATGTAGTTCCTCACACGTTGGAGAGATCTCTTAAGTGCACAACACTCAACCAAACAATCTCAATTGAAACATAACATTTCGGGGTGAACTGCCCCGTTTTTACATTTCTAAGATCGACCTGATGACCTCCCGTTATCAGAGGAAACCCGACACGGAGCACTACAAGAGTTATAGCTCAGCTGGTCCGTTGTAGATTTAAAACAAAACCTGGTGAGGGGGAATATCCAGAAAATATTATTAATTTTAGAGAAAAAAGCGGCACATTTACAAGAAAAAACTGAGATATTTTTTAATGAGAAATATAATTTTTTTAAGAACTTTTGCTGATGATTTTTATTCCAGTAAAATAAGACTTATCTTATATTTTACATAGGGTTTTTCTCAATTTACCCCGTCACATTTTATGAGAAAAATCTGTGATTTTAGCATACACATCAAGGCTTTATTCAGAAAAACACACGCCATTATTTGTCACACACACACACACACACACACACACACACAGAGACAGAGACACACACAGAGACAAAGAGACACGCACAGAGACACACACACACACAGAGAGAGAGAGACACACACACACACAGAGAGAGAGAGACACACACACAGAAACAAAGAGACACACACAGAGACACACACACAGAGAGAGAGAGACACACACACACACAGAGAGACACACACACACACACACACAGAGACACACACACAGAGAGACACACAGACAGATACGCAAACACACACACACACACACACAGAGACAGATGCACACACACAGAGAGAGAGAGAGAGACACACACAGAGACACACACAAACACAGAGACACACAGATACACACACTATTCCTGTCATTGTACCTCATGATCCCACAGAATATCCATGTTTCTTCTTGTAAATGTGCCTCTTTAATCTTAATGTATTCTCTCCCTAACTGCTTCGTTTCCCCGCTCTGTATTTTAACTATTCTACATGTCAGCGGCCCTAAAACTGTGTCCGATAGCGATGTCGTTTACAGACAGAAGCTGTTTTTGTAAATGTGTATTTGTTTGTAAAATGGAAACGCCCTTTGTCTTCCATGATGGGAAACCTGTCCTGTGTGTTATTATTCGTACCTGTCGATGTTTGCACAAAACATAAACTTAAAGGTTAGAGATAACCCTGACATGAACAAAAGCATGGTCATTCATTTCAAATAGTAGACTGATTATTATCATGCCGTATCTGTTGTTGTGACTGCTGTTAGTTCATGTGTACACGTTATACTGGAAATCAACATGTTAAGAGTTTAAAGGAGAAAATAACTAACTTTTGTGGAGATACTTTGCATTTTTGGGGAAGATATTGGTTCGCGGGAAGAAATGTCCTGCAGATTAATCGTGAAAATGTGTAATTTCTCCATTTCTTTAAAAACAAATCAATACTTTTTGACTTCCTGTTTAGTTCCTGTGAATTGTTGACAGCAAACAAATATAGAAAAGCATTAGATTTGTCCTTTTCTGTGTTTTCCCCCTAAAGCCACAAGAAAAATCCGTTGCACACAACCCTAACTCTTCCTGGTGGGTGGTGAAAGGCATTCTGGGAGTTGTAGTCAAAATCACAGCATGAGTTAATGCATTGAACATCCCACATATTTAGTTTGGATTTCTCCTTTAAGCTCTCTTTAATCATCATTAGTGTGTAATAGCATTTATTTGCCATGAAATGTGTTTTTAAATCTAGCTTTCTTCCCGTTCAGAGAGGATTGTGCAGCTTGTTCTTTCTTTGTATTGTTTTCTTACCAGGAGCCTGATTTACTTTTGTTTTTCATACTAGTGTCGACTCTGTTGGAGCTCTGAGAGTCAGGAATGATGTATTTTATTTTTTTGCTAACAAGTGTGTTTGCATTCTTGCAAATGAATTGTTTTATACTGTACAGTGAGGTGCGTTAAACCTATTTTTCTAATAAAGTTATTGACTTTGATCTGGAGTTGTGTTTCATTTGTGTAGATGATGTCATTTTGTATACATACCTTTATTTGAAGGAGTGGCGATTCTAGAGTCTGTGGGGGCCCTAGGCAAAAAGTCACTGGGGGCCCCTCGAACCAGCTTTCATCAGTGGCGCCCCAACACACTAAATAAATCACAAATGTACAAGAAGAAACCTCAGATATTCGCTGAGACTTAAAGGGGACCTATCATGCAAAATGCACTTTTTGATGTCTTCTACATCACCATGTGTCCCCGGTGTGTCAGGGAACTCACGCAGAGTCAGGAAATAAAACCCTCTCTCTTTTCCTCCGTACCCAAATCTCTAAAAACGGGGAACAACAGAGCTGATCCAGATTTGCGTCCGATATGACGTAATATCTGAAATGTGGACCCACGTCCCTATCAGAAACGTTGCTATCAGAAACAATGCCCGACTGTTTTGGACGTAATATGGTCGGTGTTTACATTAGCATCGCTAACACTCAGAGCTAACCTGTACTGGAGAGCATGGCCGTTTCGAGTGCTGCCGAAGGACTGTTCCAATCTCCAGCATACTTGGAATTCCACCGAGGCCGCATCCTTGGTTTGGGGGAAATTTCGAGGCTGGACATGGGTAGACTTCGCGTCCTTAAAATCCCCACAATGCTTTGCACATGGACCAATTTCCCCAAATCTGTGGCGGAAGATGTAAAGCGGGGCCTCTCATATGACGCACACCTGCACACTTGCTAGCCTGTTCCACTCTTTGTTTTCCGAATGGCAGGAAGTATTCTTGCCTCGCTTCTGAAGCAAGATGCTCGTCTCGGCTGTGCTACCAAGCCAGCATCCTCGCGATTGAGAAACGGCCCATGTGTGTGAAGAAGCAGGAAATAAAAAGGAACTCACCTTGTGGTATAACCGGCAAGAGAGAAAGCCTTTGAGCTCCATACTGTTTCAGAAATAATCCTTGATAATCCATGATATGGCGTTTCATCACGGCAGTATTTAGTTTAGACGGTAGCTGCCGGGTCCCGCATGAGCTCAGACCCCTCCTTTTTAAAGCTTTATACCCCAAATCAGCACTTTAGAAACAGGAAGTGAAACAGAGGGATATGAGGCATGGCTAGAATGGGTGATCTGTTTGGTATTTTGAGCAAAACACTTCATGGACATGTTTTTTATATATTTTTATATATCTGAGACCTATGCTATTGCCTAGAAATAGCATGATAGCTGCAGTTTAAGTGGTAAATATTCCAGATTTGTTTTATACATTACTAGTAAACTCTAATCTTCTCTTAGATTAAAGCGGTAAATAATATGAAAAAAAACAATTAATTTATCAGAATAAGATTCAAATAATTGGCGAAAAAAACTACAATATTAATTGAGATTAAAGTGGGGAATTTAATGGAAATAAATCACAAATTTAGAAGAAAAACCTCAAATATTTTGAGATTTAAGTGGAAAATATGACAATAAATTACAAATTGAAGTGGTTGATGAAGAGACACATTACCAAATTCGACCCGACTCGGATAAGCGGTAGAATATGGATGGATGTGCACTTTTATTTATTTTTTATACATATACAGTTTGTGCCCGTCACAAGAAATCTGTGTAGAAATAACATTGTTTTAAATGTGAAAAGTGCATTTATTTGAACCTAAAGGCGTTTTTTTAATGCAAAATTATGTTGATGATGTTGATGATATGTTGATATGATGTTCATGTATGTTCTTGAATAAATAAATAACATTAAATAAATAAAACAAACTGGTGTTTACGGGAGACAGGAAAGCTTGGCTGTGATTGGTTGTGCGTCGTCACTTGACGTAGCTCTGCGCCAGTGCGTCACGGCTGTATAAAGAGTCATGTGAAAGTGGGCGTGGTTAAATGTAAACGGAAAAACAACAGACGGGAAGTCAGTTGGGACTTTTAATCCGGATAAATAACAAATAAACAGAAGGAAAACATGAAGTAAACACTTTGGAAACTTGAACCTGGGAATTATCCTGCCCGACAGCTGAAGACTTGTGGATAAAATGTGTTTTATATGAAGAAGTTCTCCTGCAGAATTAAGGTAAATCTCTACTGTTAGCACGGTGAGCTAACTAGGGCTAGCTGTCGTCGAGCTACATTGAATCTGTTAAAATGTAACTCGCTTTAAGTGGTGTAAAGTAACTATGTACATTTCCTCAAGTACTTAAGTACACTTTTGAGATGGTGTACTTTGACATGTATTTAATCCCTTTAGTTACTTTACAGATGTGGATGAATGATGTGAAATATAATCAAGTGTTAAATCAGACTTTAGTTCCACCTGGAGTAAATCCACAAGCTACCCTGCAGTATACAAAGTCATTCAAACTAGCTGCACCTTTACCAGCTTTGAGAACACTTTCATGATCAATCATTATAAAACATATCATATATATTATTCTGAAATGGACCAATCTGCACAATGACTACTTTTACTGTCGCTACTTTAACTAGATTTTGATGATAATACTTTTCTACTTTTACTTGAGGGACATTTTGAATGCAGGACTTTTACTGTAACAGAGTATTCCTACACTCTGGTACTTCTACTTTTACTAAGTACAAGATCTGAGTACTTCTACTTTTACTCAAGTACAATATCTGAGTACTTTTACTTTTACTCAAGTACAAGATCTGAGTACTTCTACTTTTACTCAATTACAAGATCTGAGTACTTCTACTCAATTACAAGATCTGAGTACTTCTACTTTTACTCAAGTACAAGATCTGAGTACTTCTACTTTTACTCAATTACAAGATCCGAGTACTTCTACTTTTACTAAAGTACAGGATCTGAGTACTTCTCCCTCCTCTGGCTGTAACTCATTAAAACAGCTTATAGTGTAATTTTAACCCGTAAATAGCTTCTGTTTCCTGGGTGTCACAGTCTGTAACGTCTCTCTCTGGTCCGCAGGTTCTTTGACGACACGATGGCAGGTTTTTTAATGTTTTTAGAGAAAGTGAAGCTGGGTCTGAAGATAGACGTCCTGAGGGAAGTGGGACGTCAGTACCCAGTCTTCTGCTTCCTGCTGCTGTCTCTGGTGGCGCTCACACTGCTGCTAAACAGGTAGAAAACACACACAACATGTATGAAATCAGTGTTTCTATTGGCTCAACAGTGGCAGATTATGTCTGAACTCTGAGGGAGTCATAATAATACACTTTATTTATAAAGCACCTTTCATGCTTGACGCAGCCCAAAGTGCTTTACTGAGTATGACAGAAAATGACAATAACAAATGAGGAACATAATCAAAACAGAACGAATTATATCACTGAACAATAAAACATGAACAGTGATATTACAAACAAATTACAAATTGCCGCAAATTAAAATCCAAATGAAAAAGATAGGTCTTTAATTCCAATTGAGTTTGCTGTTCTAAGATCCAATAACTTTATTTTATATCCCACCTTTCATGCATGATGCAGCCAAAGAGCCCCAGATGAAGCTCTGATTACAGATCCTTCTGTATTTGATGAGTGTTAGTGAGTGTTTTTGTTTGTGTTTTAATGTGGTTTACTCGTCCCTCTCCAGGTATCTCCACGTCCTGATGGTCTTCTGGTCGTTCCTCGCCGGCGTCACCACCTTCTACTGCTCCCTCGGACCGGAGTCCCTCGTTCCAAACATCTTCTTCCCCGTGAAGCAGAGGAACAAAGTAAATCTCACGTTAACCCTTTAGCTGCACAGTGTGTGAAGGCCTTTTTATATTTACTTAAACTACTGTCAACAGAAGCTATAATGGTAATGAACTGAGCTTATGCCTTATTGTGCAAATAGCCCAACATATGCATAACATGTGACCCTACTACTATACATTTCTATCATAAACTTTGGGGTACCCAACATTTCTGGGTTCACAGCAGGACTTAAAGGTCCCATGTCATGGCCATTTCTACTGATCATATTTCCATTGTTGAGGTCTACTAAAATAAATGTACATTGTTCAATGTTCCAAACTCACATTGGTTTCTCATACAGCACCTCTGTATAGTCTGTGTATTCACTCTCTGTCCGAAATGGCTTGTTGGAGCTCCTGCCCCCCCCTCCCTATGAGCCCAGTGGCCGTCTGCGAGACACAGCGAAACCATCCCGAACACACACACACACACCCGCAGCCTGGCTGTGAGTCTGTGTGTGTGCTCACACACCGACTCACAGCCTCGCCGCGTCCCGCCGTCTCAGGGAGGAGGAGAAATCGGCGGAGCTGCAGCTGAGAAAAGATTGAGTGAGTGTGAGGAAGTCCGCGTAACGGACGTAACGTAACGGCTCCGCAGATTGACCAATGGGTCCATTTGGGTATTCACACGTCACAGTACCCAGGAAGTAAACAATGGAAAAAGAGAAATGTCCAACGAGGCGTTCTGGGGCAGCATAGACAGGTCTTTTCTGTGTTAGAGTTTTACTCCCTACAGGGTGTACTTTGAGGGTTTGTGACTCTGCAGACCGTTTACATGCAGAAAAACCTTCATAACACAAGGGGACGGGTAATAACCGGAAAAGCATGACATGGGACCTTTAATAGCTGGTGACTATAATGTGATTTCTAAATATGAATAACATGAATCCTTTGTCCTCCACAGCGTCAGGAGCAGGAGCTGTTTCCTCTGGGTCACAGCTGCGCCGTGTGCGGGAAGGTGAAGTGCAAACGCCACCGGTACGTTGTTTTATTATTTATATATCTATATATCTTCAAGCTTTATCTAGCCAGGGAACACTTTAACTTATTTTCTTCAATTCCTGTATTTTTTCATATCGCAGGGGAAAGAATCGCAATGTCAGTTTTTTCCAATATGGTGCAGCCCTAGTATGGAGCATACCTGGAGATTTATGTCATGATTTCTGTACTTTCTCGTGTCCACATCCCTTCAGAAAGTCGCTCTGAATTCACAAATGTTTAATTCCCTGCAGGCCGACGCTGCTGCTGGAGAACTATCAGCCGTGGTTAGACCTGAAAGTTCCTTCAAAGGTCGACGCTTCAGCAGCAGAGGTACGGCCGTTATGATTCACGTCTTACTTTTGTACACTAAGCTTCCACTTTCTTATAATGTTATTCAACTTGTTTCGTCTTTGTTTCTGCCCTTTACAATATCATTATTGTTTCTTTCTCCTACAGCAAAGAAATATATGCCAACATAGTCTTAGTCTTCTCAAAAACACTGGATTATATCATGCTTTGTGGCACGACGGGGTCTTAAGAAGTATTACAAGTTGATAAATCAATTTAGCGAAAATGAAGGCTATTAAAAAGTATTTAATTAAACTGCATTTTCCAAGGTATTACATTTTGTATCTAGTTTCCAATAAGTATATAAATTGTCCAAAGAGGTATTCTACAGTCTGCCTGAATGTAATCATTGCGTAGGTGTGTAGTGTGATTCTGTGTAGTTTATTTATGGCATCCCGTTGGATTTGACGTCATCTGAACAGGACATCGCACGCTCACTGCTTGATAGCGCGCGAAGGTCCGTTTACGCCGGTTGCTAAGCAACATCGTTATGGGGAAATGCAAGTCTGCGTCCAAATGGTTGGAAGATAAGGAGGAAGGACAATCAATACTGTATATAGTCAATGTGAGGTAAAGTGTGTCGCCAAGGTAACCGGTTAGAACTCCAAGTGGCGATGAGGTCTTAAAATGTATGGAAAGGGTCCAAAGATCCAAAAATACTTAAAGATCCAAAAATACTTAAAGTTCCAAAAATACTGTAAATTCCAAAAATACTTAAAGTTCCAAAAATACCGTAAATTCCAAAAATACTTAAAGTTCCAAAAATACTTAAAGTTCCAAATATACTTAAAGTTCCAAAAATACTTAAAGTTCCAAAAATACCGTAAATTCCAAAAATACTTAAAGTTCCAAAAATACTTAAAGATCCAAAAATACTTAAAGTTCCAAATATACCGCAAATGGTTGGAAGATAAGGAGGAAGGACAATCAATACTGTATATAGTCAATGTGAGGTAAAGTGTGTCGCCAAGGTAACCGGTTAAAACTCAAAGTGGCGATGAGGTCTTAAAATGTATGGAAAGGGTCTTAAAAGGTTTTCCATTTGACTTCAGGATTCCTGCACGAGATAAATAACTTTTCAGCTGTGCATACTTCTCCTTAAACCGGATCAATAAACATGAAGAGGTTCATCCAGTCGTGAATCTAGGTTTTAAGTTCATATGAAGAGTCAAAAATAATATATAAAAAACTGAAAATATCTTAATTTATTGCCTAAAAAAAGGAATTGTTAATCATTCCAGAAAGACATATTGAAAGTAAAATTGAAAAGCATTCTTTCTTTTTAAAAATGATTATCTGTCTCTTTAAAAAACACATCAGTTGAGATGTCTTTGTTGTCTCCTTCTCCCTTCTCCCTGTAGGTGTTCGAGTTAGTTCTGGAGAACTTTGTGTACCCGTGGTACCGGTGAGTGTTTCCTTGTTTTCAGAGTGTTATTTTTCTCACAGACGGACGTAGAGAAGTTGTTTTAAGATTCAAAGATTCAAAGGTGTTATCGTCACATGCACATAAGCTTCAGTGTAGAAATGGACCTGAGCCAACATGCCACATATCATAAAATACAAATAAAAAATAGTGCAAGAAGTCTATATACATGTAAATAGAATATGATATATACAAGGAAGCTCCATAGTTTCTCTTAGAATAAAATCACACTGTACATTGATATATTCAGTTTAATATTTAATATCCCATCTGTCACATAATTATGTATATTTATTACATGGCTTAGTTGAATACTCGATTCTGATTGGTCAATTCAGAACACGTTGTTAATCCAGTACAGACCGCTGTCGTCGTTGTTAAGGACGCTCTCATCTGCAGAAAGAAGTCCGGTCGATTGAACTGTATACAGTTTGGCCCGGGACAAGGAAACAGCGGAGAAGTAACGGGGCAGAAACCCTCCTTTTTACGCAGCGGTCCTGACACAGACACCAAACGGCAAAACATATTCAGTGTGCAGTTCCTTTGGCATTAGGGCAGGGATATCTAGATACTTTCCAAGCTTTGACATCATGGATTGTGCTACTTATAAAGCAAGCAACGGTGTTTTCAAATCTGTAATCAAAAAGGTCAGCGAAAACGCTATCGAAGCAGTTCCTACCGTTGCTACGTAGTTCAAACGGTAACAACGGACTATTTTTCTTAGCGGATGCATGTCATTTTAAATCAATAAAACTATTTTTTAAAAGCATTTCAATTAATATTGGGAGTCATGTCGTTACTTTGTTGAGAATGTGGCCGGGATAATGTAAATTCAACATGTATATTTTCTACTTTCTTGTGTATTTCTTGTCTTTTAATTTTGATTGTACAATGCCATGTCTTTGTATGCTGCTGCAACGCAAACAATTCCCAATTTGGGATCAATAAAGTACTATTTAACTTATCTTGAAAATCTGAGGTCACAGGCTCCTCCAACAGAACACAATACAACAGATACAATAGTGCAAGTAAATAAAATAGAATAGAAATAGTGCAGAATAGTCTATATACAAGTAATTGGAATATTGACAGAATGTAAAATGTAATGATGTACATTAAGACGAAATTAAATACGGTTTATTACGGTGATAACTATTTAGATAAATGAGTAAATTAAATCTCCTTCTTCCTGTTTTCAGGGACATCACGGACGACGATGCGTGTGTCGATGAACTCAGGATGACTTTTCGTTTCTTCGCCTCGGTTCTCGTTCGCCGCGCTCAGAAGGTCCGTGTCAGGTTTCTTTTTAAAGAGCGAGAGAGGCTGTTAAAAAACCATATTTCTGATCATCAAAAGACTTAAAATGTTAGTTTTTGTGAATAAAATGTCAGATAAAGAAAAGGATGAATTCCAACAGGCCACTAGATATCATTGATTTTATCATTAAATGTTCTTTATAGTGACATTTCATCACATAAACGGTCTGGTCTTGGTCGTGTGTTTGTCGGCAGGTTGATGTTCCTGCTGTGTTTGCAGACAAAGTGATGAAAGCTGGAATGAAGCACATTGAAATTATTGCAAAAGCTCATAGAAAAGGTAAGAATCTGCATTATTACGGTCTGTACTACTGTCCTATTGACCTCTGAAACGTCACAATCGACCAATCAGAATCGAGTATTCGACTAAGCCATGTAATATTAAGTGCATTTATATTCATTTATTTAATTACACTTCAAGCTAAACCAGTGATTCAGCTACTTTACTTTCGCTTCCTATGTTTATTTAATTTTCTCTTTCTTCACATTTTTGCTTTCAATTTTGTATCTTTTATTTAAATATTTTTATCTTACTTCAACTTCTTACATGTATAAAATATTTCTATTTATTTATCTTTCATTCTAAACTGTCACAAAACCCAATTTCCTCCGTGATAAATAACCTTTGTGGGGATTTTCTTTAAATCAACCATGAAGATGTGTGTGGTGCGTTCAGGGACCCTCAGTAACCTGTGTGTGTGTGTGTGTGTGTGTGTGTGTGTGTGTGTGTGTGTGTGTGTGTGTGTGTGTGTGTGTGTGTGTGTGTGTGTGTGTGTGTGTGTGTGTGTGTGTGTGTGTGTGTGTGTGTGTGGTGTGTGTGTGTGTGTGTGTGTGTGTGTGTGTGTGTGTGTGTGTGTGTGTGTGTGTGTGTGTGTGTGTGTGTGTGTGTGTGTGTGTGTGTGTGTGTGTGTGTGTGTGTGTGTGTGTGTGTGTGTGTGTGTGTGTGTGTGTGTGTGTGTGTGTGTGTGTGTGTGTGTGTGGTGCGCATTCAGGGACCCTCAGTAACTTTGATTATTTCTGTGTATAGTTCAGAGTGTGGTGCGTTCAGGGACCCACAGTAACTTTGATTATGTCTGTGTATAGTTCAGAGTGTGGTGCGTTCAGGGACCCTCAGTAACTCTGATTATTTCTGTGTATAGTTCAGAGTGTGGTACGTTCAGGGACCCTCAGTAACTTTGAATATATGTGTGTATATTTCAGAGTGTGGTGCGTTCAGGGACCCTCAGTAACTTTGATTATATGTGTGTATAGTTCAGAGTGTGGTGCGTTCAGGGACCCTCAGTAACTTTGAATATATGTGTGTATATTTCAGAGTGTGGTGCGTTCAGGGACCCTCATTAACTCTGATTATGTCTGTGTATAGTTCAGAGTGTGGAGGGTTTGCAGCAGGCGGCTCTGGATGAATTTGGCGCTGATCTCCACATCGCGCTGCGCAGCCGCAAAGACGAGCTGCTCTACCTCCGAAAACTCACAGAGATGCTGTTTCCTTACGTCATGCCGCCCAAAGCCACCGACTGCAGGTAGGACACGTACAGCATTTACCTGTCAGGGTAGAAAAGTGTATACAAATATACTATATACTATAAACTATAATCTAATATATTCAAATGTAGATTGGGCTGAAAGCAAATCATTTTGAGCGCCCCCTAGTGGTCCGTGAGTATATTGGTAACATTTCACATTTGAAATAAATAAATAATAAATTCAAAGTGTTTCTCAAATTGTTTAAAAATGAGTGTGTAAACATAACTTGTGTTTAATGTTTTATTCCTCTGGATTGTGGGGGACGTTATTTCGATCTCTCTGTCTGTCTCTCACCGGCCAGAAGACATGAGAAAGTGGACTTTGTATAATAGGAGACCTTTTAAATATATTCTAAACCTTTTTTAACGCAGGTCTCTGTCTCTGCTGCTGCGGGAGGTGATGTCTGGATCCGTCATGTTGCCCACCATGGACTTCATGGCCGACCCTGTGAGTAACTGCTTTTATAATCAAATAAACAACTACTAAGAGTGATGTTAAAGCACGGGTTCATGTTTCGTCTGGCAGAGTTATGAGTTATGCACTGTAGGGATTCTGTAAAACGTCATTTATTTGGTTTATTGTAGAAGAAAACCCTTTAATTCAATCGACCGTTTAAGATTGAATTAGTAACGATCAAGAGCATTAGATTATGTAAGAATATTCCTCATGTTTCTTTGTTTTTAGATGAAAATAGTACAAAATAATATGAAATAACTTCATAATTATGTCCAAAACTCACTTTCCACTCTGTGTTTTAAAGGTTTTTTAATATAAAAATACTAATATTTGTCTTTGTTTTCCAGGATACTGTGAACCTCATGGTGCTGATATTTGTTGATGACACTCCAGTAAGTAAACAAAACATTTCATAAATACTGATCCTTTTACTTTACAGGTAAATCAGGGAATATAAGATGAGAAAAAATAATCTGCTGCGTGGAAATGTAACCTTTTTTAATTACATTTGAGTGGATATTTCTTTTTTACTCCACTTCCTCGTGTATTGGTTCTGGATTCATTTGAATAAAATCATCTTTTGTGTCTCCAGCTCGATCCGGCCACCGAGCCCCCGTCTCCACTCGTTCCTTTTTTACAGAAATACGCTGACGTCAGCAACAAGAAGCAGTCTGTGAGTACCTCGCTTTTTAATTTAAATGAATAAATACTTCTTACTCTAGTTTCCTAAACCTGTATCCCCCTCCGCCACCTCATGATAGAAAGTGTGTCTGCGTCTCCTTTGTGTATCTTGTGGTTTCTGATATTAATACTATTAAAGCTTTATATTTACAGCACTTTTCCTACACAGGATGTTGCTCAAAGTGCTTGGACAGTTTACAAATATTAGCACACATGCATGGCGGGTAAACGGATGCGTACATGACCTCAAAAAGGTAAAAAATCAAGAGAATAAATACAATAAAATAATCTAAAAGTAAACGACAGATAACCCATGCTTCGGTAAAAGCAAGACAGGAACAAGACGTGTGTGTGTGTGTGTGTGTGTGTGTGTGTGTGTGTGTGTGTGTGTGTGTGTGTGTGTGTGTGTGTGTGTGTGTGTGTGTGTGTGTGTGTGTGTGTGTGTGTGTGTGTGTGTGTGTGTGTGTGTGTGTGTGTGTGTGTGTGTGTGTGTGTGTGTGTGTGTGTGTGTGTGTGTGTGTGTGTGTGTGTGTGTGTGTGTGTGTGTGTGTGTGTGTGTCAGAGTGTGTGTGTGTGTGTCAGAGTGTAGTGCGTTCAGGGACCCTCAGTAACCCCAATGTGTGTGTCTCTCTCTCTCTCTCTCTCTCTGTGTGTGAGAGCTTTGCGGGGTCGAGAAAACTTGATAAATTGTTATATTAGTAAAGTACATTTACCGTAACAAACTCACAAATTTGAGTATTTCTAAGATAAGAGACTAATTCACATTGTGATTTGAAGGGACCTTACTGTGAAATTGGGAGGAAATCACCACACTGATTTGGAAAAGGTTACTAACGTATCAAAGGTGTTGTATTACCTGTTCTCCAGCTATGATGAGAACGATAAATATATATATATATATATATATATATATATATATATATATATATCAGTTCAGTCCATGTACCATCAGATAAAGACCAACAGAAGGGTTTTTGCAGTGTTTCATGCAAACCCTCCCTGTTGTCTTGCAGGTTTTGAAGCTGGACCTGAAGGAGATCAGGGAGCAGCAGGATCTACTTTTCCGCTTCATGAACTTCCTGAAGCAGGAAGGAGCCGTGCATGTGCTGCAGTTCTGCCTCACCGTGGGTACGTGCTTCACACAAAAACAAAATGAAACGACAGGACGGTTGATTTTATGGACTGTTAGAATATGTCCGACTGACTGTTAGACAAATCTCACTGGTCCCCGGCTTGAGCTTCAATCTCAGGATCCATGTATTTATGATCCTCTCCAGAATGGAAGTAGTCATCATATACAAAGAAAATAAATTCGGACTTTTTCTAAAAATTCTGACTTTTTCTCAAAATTCTGATCTTTTTCTCAAAATCTCAAATTCTGACATTTTCTCTCAAAATTCTGACTTTTTCTCAAAAATCGAAAAAATTATGACTTTTGCTCAAAATCTCAAAATGTTAATCTCAGGATCCATGTATTTATGATCCTCTCCAGAATGGAAGTAGTCATCACATACAGAGCATCAACTAGTTCCTGAACAGTGTCCTTCACATGCTGATATCCAAGAGAGGGAGTTACACAGTCACAAGATGGAGGAATAGAAAGCAGTATTCAATGTTTACTTCAGATTAGCTCCACGTCAGAAATGAGCATGCTTGTCATATGTCTATCTCCATAGAGGCTGAATCATCATGTTAATCACATAGCTATCATATGCCTCAAACAGTCCTGATGCTCTTCTAGGTAATCATACATCCTGTCATGCACACAGCTACAGTTGGGATACCTTTGTTATCATGTTACTCTCAGATTGATAGAGGACATTCAGGATTTTCCCAACACTGACCCGTGTGGTTGTTTTTCCTGCAGAGGAGTTCAACGATCAGATCCTGAGTCCTGATCTGAGTGACTCTGAGCTGCAGCGTCTCCACGGAGAGGTCGTTCGCATCTACGAGACGTACTGCCTCGAGGAGAGCATCGACAAGATCAGCTTCGACCCCTTCATCGTGGACGAGATCAGGAACAGTGAGAGGCTTTACAACTTCATATATACACTGATTATATCTTTAAGTGTTGATTTAAGGCGTTGTAACCTCATAAATACTCTGATTATATCTTTCAGATACAGACAATGTTAAGTGCTACATGTTTCTGTTGTTGTTGTTGTTGTTTACTGTCCCTGTGCCTCTCTCTCAGTTGCTTTATTTCCGTACTTTCAGAGTTGATTTACGGCTTTAAAACCTCATAAATACACTAATTATATATTTCAGTGTTGATTTGTAGTATTAAGACTTTGCGCTTCATGTTTCTGGTGTTGTTGTTGTTGTTTACTGTCCTGTGTCTCTCAGTTTCTATAGGTCCGTACGGCAGCGTGGTGAAACTCTTACGTGCTTCACGTTTCTGTTGTTGTTGTTTACTGTCCTGTGTCTCTCAGTTGCTATAGGTCCGTACGGCGGCGTGGTGAAGCCCTTACGTGCTACATGTTTCTGTTGTTGTTGTTTACTGTCCTGTGTCTCTCAGTTGCTATAGGTCCGTACGGCGGCGTGGTGAAACTCTTACGTGCTACATGTTGTTGTTGTTTACTGTCCTGTGTCTCTCAGTTGCTATAGGTCCGTACGGCGGCGTGGTGAAACTCTTACGTGCTTCATGTTTCTGTTGTTGTTGTTGTTTACTCTCCCTGTGTCACTCTCAGTTGCTATAGGTCCGTACGACGGCGTGGTGAAGCTCCAGACGATGCACTGTCTGTTCGAAGCGTACGAACACGTGCTGTCTCTGCTGGAGAGAGTCTTCACCCCCATGTTCTGCCACAGTGACGAGGTGACAGCTCTTTATTAGCATGTGGTTTAAATATCTGCAAATAACTTTAGATTAAATGTAAATATTTATTTGTTTGTGCGAATAACACTTGGATTTAAAGGTCACCTATCATGCAAGATCCACTTCTCCATGTCTGTTCTACATCAACATGTGTCCCCTCTTCTTCATGTCTCTGCTACATCAACATGTGTCCCCTCTTCTTCATGTCTCTTCTACATCAACATGTGTCCCCTCTTCTTCATGTCTCTTCTACATCAACATGTGTCCCCTCTTCTTCATGTCTGTTCTACATCAACATGTGTCCCCTCTTCTTCATGTCTCTTCTACATCAATATGTGTCCCCTCTTCTTCATGTCTCTTCTACATCAACATGTGTCCCCTCTTCTTCATGTCTCTTCTTCATCACCATGTGTCCCCTCTTCTTCATGTCTCTTCTACATCAACATGTGTCCCCTCTTCTTCATGTCTCTTCTACATCAACATGTGTCCCCTCTTCTTCATGTCTCTTCTACATCAACATGTGTCCCCTCTTCTTCATGTCTCTTCTACATCACCATGTGTCCCTCTTCTTCATGTCTCTTCTACATCACCATGTGTCCCCACTTCTTCATGTCTCTTCTTCATCAACATGTGTCCCCTCTTCTTCATGTCTCTTCTACATCAACATATGTCCCCTCTTCTTCATGTCTCTTCTACATCACCATGTGTCCCCTCTTCTTCATGTCTCTTCTACATCAACATGTGTCCCCTCTTCTTCATGTCTCTTCTACATCAACATGTGTCCCCTCTTCTTCATGTCTCTTCTACATCACCATGTGTCCCCTCTTCTTCATGTCTCTTCTACATCAACATGTGTCCCCTCTTCTTCATGTCTCTTCTACATCAACATGTGTCCCCTCTTCTTCATGTCTCTTCTACATCAACATGTGTCCCCTCTTCTTCATGTCTCTTCTACATCAACATGTGTCCCCTCTTCTTCATGTCTCTTCTACATCAACATTTGTCCCCTCTTCTTCATGTCCTTTTCTACATCAACCATGTGTCCCCCTTCTTCATGTCTCTTCTACATCAACATGTGGTCCCCTCTCTCTTCATGTCTCTTCTACATCACCATGTGTCCCCTCTTCTTCATGTCTCTTCTACATCAACATGTGTCCCCTCTTCTTCATGTCTCTTCTACATCACCATGTGTCCCCTCTTCTTCATGTCTCTTCTACATCAACATGTGTCCCCTCTGCTTCATGTCTCTCTACATCAACATGTGTCCCCCTCTCTTCATGTCTCTTCTACATCAACATGTGTCCCCTCTTCTTCATGTCCTCTTCTACATCAACATGTGTCCCCTCTTCTTCATGTCTCTTCTACATCACCATGTGTCCCCTTTCTTCATGTCTCCTCTACATCACATGTGTCCCCCTCTTTTATGTCTCTTCTACATCCAACATGTGTCCCCTCTTCTTCATGTCTCTTCTACATCAACATGTGTCCCCTCTTCTTCATGTCTAATTCTCTTCTATGTCTCTTTACATCAACATGTGGTCCCCTCTTCTTCATGTCTCTTCTACATCAACATGTGTCCCCCTCTTCTTCATGTCTCTTCTACATCAACATGTGTCCCCTCTTCTTCATGTCTCTTCTACATCAACATGTGTCCCCTCTTCTTCATGTCTCTTCTACATCAACATGTTGTCCCCTCTTCTTCATGTCTCTTCTACATCAACATGTGTCCCCTCTTCTTCATGTCTCTTCTACATCAACATGTGTCCCCTCTTCTTCATGTCTCTTCTACATCAACATGTGTCCCTCTTCTTCATGTCTCTTCTACATCAACATGTGTCCCCTCTTCTTCATGGTCTCTGCTACATCAACATGTGTCCCCTCTTCTTCATGTCTCTTCTACATCAACATGTGTCCCCTCTTCTTCATGTCTCTTCTACATCAACATGTGTCCCCTCTTCTTCATGTCTCTTCTACATCAAACATGTGTCCCCTCTTCTTCATGTCTCTTCTACATCACATGTGTCCCCCTCGTCTTCATGTCTTTCTACATCAACATGTGTCCCCTCTTCTTCATGTCTCTTCTACATCAACATGTGTCCCCTCTTCTTCATGTCTCTTCTACATCAACATGTGTCCCCTCTTCTCATGTCTCTTCTACATCAACATGTGTCCCCTCTTCTTCATGTCTTTTCTACATCAACATGTGTCCCCTCTTCTTCATGTCTCTGCTACATCAACATGTGTCCCCTCTTCTTCATGTCTCTTCTACATCAACATGTGTCCCCTCTTCTTCATGTCTCTTCTACATCAACATGTGTCCCCTCTTCTTCATGTCTCTTCTTCATCAACATGTGTCCCCTCTTCTCATGTCTCTGCTACATCAACATGTGTCCCCTCTTCTTCATGTCTCTTCTACATCAACATGTGTCCCCTCTTCTTCATGTCTCTTCTACATCAACATGTGTCCCCTCTGTGTAAAGAGACTCTGAAAGTTTCAGGAACAAAGATTCTCTCTCTTTTTGATCCATTTCTATAAAAACCTGTCTGAAAATGAGCTGATCAGATTTTGGCCACTTTATGATGTCACAATGTTTTTTGTCTTGTGTAACCATTAGCCAATCAGCAACCAAGGTAACCCCCCCCCCCCCCCCCCCCACCTTATCACCTGAACCTCCTCCTAGAGCACCATTGTGTTGCTTTAAACCAATCATCTCTCAGAGGGGGGTGGCCAGCTGCAGCTCATTAGCATTTAAAGCTACAGACACATAATCAGCACTTTTGGAACAGAGAAATCAAAGTAACTGATCGTAATGTAAGATGTGTTGCTTTATTATTAATTAAACTATCCAACAGAATGCTCTCTTACTTGGGTAATGTATTGGCGTGTGATTCAAGCTTCAACTCGTATATTAATTGTTATTTGTCTGTGTTCAGTACTTCAGACACCTGCTGAGAGGAGCAGAGTCTCCCACCAGGAACTCAAGAATCAGCAGGTTGGTTTAATCATTTATATTCATATGTTTACTTAGCTGTTAATGCATATTTCACATGGAATGGTGGCAAAGAGAATTAGGAAAAATAGGTATTAAGAATGAGAAAAAGGTTATTATGCAAACACCTGATCACCAATTTGTATTAACCGATAATGATTTCCTCAATGACTCGATATCTTGTTAAAAATTGTGATTTGTGTTTCCAAATGTCTACGTAACTTTAGATATTTAGTTCTCTGTCATAGAGGGGTTAGGAAACGTGGAAATATTCACATTTAAGAAGCTGGAAACATCGAATTATCATAAAAAAAAAAATGAAACCGTTCCTAAACAGTATAAATATTAGTCAAAAAAGTCAACCATTTATTAATAGTTAAAGGATTACATTTGCGGCTCTTATTTACATGATATCAACACCACAGATATTGAAACTAGGGTGACCAGATGTCCCGCTTTGTGCATATTTATCATTTTCCCCGTGTCCCACAAATTGAGACGATGTCCCCGCACTTGATTATTCAATAGCTAGATAACAAAAGAGAGCTATCACCCTTAGCTGTGTCAGAAATCAACTTATAGTAAAGTGTTGGAAGTCATATATATAGGCTATAGTTTCAATATAAAGGTTTATTTTTTAGGGTTGGATGGACATTATATTGAAACCTAAACTACTGACTAAAATGTCCCGCATTGTCCCACACAAACACACTCTTGGTTCCACTTGTGGTCACCTCGTCACCCTGATTGAAACCATGAAGTGAACTGGGTTTATCACAGTAAACATTAGATGGATGTAATAACAGCCTAATTATTTAATATAGTTTTATCGGTAACACTTCATATTAAGGTACACATATTCCCCATCAACTAGTTGTTAATTAGCATGCATATTAGCAGTATATTGTCTCTTTATTAGTCATTATCAAACACATATGAATGCTTTATTCTACATGACCATATTCTACAAGTACTAGGCCATTAGTTGAGAGTTATAACCCTCTAATTAGTGCTGATTTATTGCAAGTAAAGAAGTTGTTGTACATAAGTTTGGGTCTTAATATGCTCTGCTCAATATGCAGTAGCAGTACCACAAGAATAGTAATTCTCCCATAATCACACCGAACAAATATATTCTTATGTAACAAGAAAGGAAACTACAAGTTTTAGTTGTGTCAAAATAGGTATTTCGGTAACACTTCATATTAAGGGACACATATTCCCCATCAACTAGTTGTTAATTAGCATGCATATTAGCAGTATATTGTCTCTTTATTAGTCATTATAAAACACATGTTAATGCCTTATTCTACATGACCATATTCTACAAGTAATAAGCCATTAGTTGAGAGTTTTTCCTCAATAACCCTCTGATTAGTGCTGATTTATTGCAAGTAAGGAAGTTGTTGTACATGAGTTTGGGTCTTAACCTGTTTTTAAATTTTTATTAATTTTTTTTATTTTAATTTTTTTTCTTTAAATGGAATGAATACCTATGGTGATAATTCAATGTAATACATCATTTGTATAGTCTGGTACCTGAAAAAGGTCAAATGGCACTGATGGAACCAGATGTACCCAAATGTGCCGAAAGCTTATTCCGCCTGGAACTGTTTTTTTCTAAATCTCTCTAAAAAGGTCAAATTTCACTTGTTTTGCCTCAATCTTGATACAGGGTACTTATTATATGTTATAGTTTGGATTCCTAAAGCTTTTAGTCTACCATCCCATCATTCAAGGGTGGTTTTCACTATAAGTAATGTTTTTTCTTTAGGCGGAGGTAAGAATTTACCTTTTTTTACTATGTTCCATCTGAATTTACTCTGACTGAGAAAAATCTATATTGATTCTGACACTTCTACATCCAACTCACAGATGTAACCTTGCTTTGATAAAAGAAATTATTCATATAACCCTTTTAGAAGTGAAGTTGTAGTCATTTGTTTTGGGCATGTCATTTTCGAGCCTGAAACCTGAAAAACAGGCTCGGGGCTTAACAGGTTAATCTGTTCGATATGGGCCTAATGAGGCAGCAGTACCACAAGAATAGTAATTCTCCCATAATCACACCAAACAAATATATTCTTATGTAACAAGAAATGAAACTACAAGTGTTTATTGTGTCAAAATAACTCAAAATGAGGTATTTCTAACTAAGAATATGTTCCCTATTTTAAAGTGAAGTCTTGTTCATAAAAAACAAGCTAGTAGTTTGACTGTAATGTGTGAATGAACAACTAGTTGATGGTGAATAAGTGAACCTTAACATAAAGCGTTACCGGTTTATCAAACTACCTGAGTCCAGTAGTGAGAACTGTCCTCTGAATACACACACCGTCTTTTAAGGTGTTTCATCCAAACTGTGGTCATAAGTTGCTTTTGCATCTTGTTCCAGAAATAGCTTCAGTTGTGACGAGAGTCGGTGAGTAAATGTTCTGCATGTTTCGCTGCTGAAAGCTGCTCAGAGTGATGCATGCCGTTTATATGCATTCTTTTTTATATTCCACATCTGGAGACACGGCTGAGCTTTGGTGCTTGGTCATATGTCACGCTGATGATTGCACTTTTGTTTTAACCTCACGTTTGAGTTAAATAATGCATCTCTGAACACATGGGATTTAAAAAGTCAGAACGGGAGTCAATGTGGCAAAAATATTTAGTTAACATGTCTGTTGTTTATATGTTTCTGTATTGTTTCCATTGTGTTAGAGGCTAGATTATACACCTGAACATCAGCAGGAGAGGACTCTTTAAAGTAGAGACACTACATACTGATATACACCTGAACATCAGCAGGAGAGGACTCTTTAAAGTAGAGACACTACATACTGATATACACCTGAACATCAGCAGGAGAGGACTCTTTAAAGTAGAGACACTACATACTGATATACACCTGAACATCAGCAGGAGAGCACTCTTTAAAGTAGAGACACTACATACTGATATACACCTGAACATCAGCAGGAGAGGACTCTTTAAAGTAGAGACACTACATACTGATATACACCTGAACATCAGCAGGAGAGGACTCTTTAAAGTAGAGACACTACATACTGATATACACCTGAACATCAGCAGGAGAGGACTCTTTAAAGTAGAGACACTACATACTGATATACACCTGAACATCAGCAGGAGAGGACTCTTTAAAGTAGAGACACTAAAGTGAGTAATTGTCTCTGCTCTCTGTAGGAACATGTCGAAGCGAGGCGAGTCGTTTGGCATCAGCAGGATTGGCAGTAAAATAAAAGGTGTGTTTAGAAACACGACGATGGAGGGAGCGATGTTGCCGCCCTGCAACATGAACGATATGGACGAAGACATGGTGAGGGTTTCACTTCTTCTTCCTAATTTAAAGAGTTCTGTCTGTACACTAGCACAGCTTTCTCTGAGGATGAAGACTCCCACGCTCACTTCAACACCCTCAAATGAATTGGTGTTACTCTCTCCTTTCTCAATTAGTAACACAACGAGGACTAGTCTTACTTTGTTTCTAAGACACCATTAGTCCTGCTGTAGGGAAGCTGTGTCCTAAGTGAACTCATAGAAAGGAAATAGGAAAGTATTTTAGATGTCTTGTGTCTCCTTGCAGGTGGAGGAGGCGACGGTGGTGATGGAGGACGACTCCCCCGCGGAGCCTCCCTGCTCAGCTGGCTCTCTGAGGAACCTTTCCTTCTGGAGCATCGGCATCCCGTACATCGACCTCTGTGACGACGACAACAAGAGAGACAAGATCCCCGTGTTCTGCATCGATGTGGAGAGAAACGACCGGAAGGAAGGTAACAAAGTCCTCAGTCAGCGAGGTCACATGGGCGAAGATTTAGATGTGAGGAGGGCGATGAAACGAAAGTTAAAAAATACTGTTAACTCCGGGGTAAGCCTGCCATGAAAGCCCAACGTTTACTTTCAAAATAAAAGCCCCATAAAGTATCTGTATACTTAAAGCAAGCTCCAGGAGAGGCTTGTTTTTCAAAATAAAAGCCCCAGTTAGTTAGTAAGCAAGCTCCAGGAGAGGCTTGTTTTTCAAAATAAAAGCCCCAGTTAGTAAGCTAGCTCCAGGAGAGGATTGTTTTTCAGAATAAATGCTCCATAACGTAACTGTATACTTAAAGCAAGCTCCAGGAGATGCTTGTTTTTCAAAATAAAAGCTCCATAACGTAACTGTATACTTAAAGCAAGCTCCAGCAGAATCTTGCTTTTCAAAATAAAAGCGCCAGTAAGTAACTGTATACTTAAATTAAGCTCCAAGAGAGGCTTGTTTTTCAAAATAAAAGCGCCAGTTTGTAACTGTATACTTAAAGCAACCTCCAGGAGAGGCTTGTTTTTCAAAATAAAAGTGCCAGTTTGTAACTGTATACTTAAAGCAACCTCCAGGAGAGGCTTGTTTTTCAAAATAAAAGCGCCAGTTTGTAACTGTATACTTAAAGCAAACTCCAGGAGAGGCTTGTTTTTCAAAATAAAAGCCCCATAACGTAAGTGTATACTTTACTGCAGGCTCCAGGAGAGACTTGTTTTTCAAAATAAAAGCGCCACAGAGTAACTGTATCTGAACCTTGTGTAAAATGTCTATTTGATTGTAAAATACTTTCTCCTTATGTACATATTAATGTAATTTATGAATCTTCTTCTTCTTCCAGTTGGTCATGAAACAGAGAAGTGGTCGGTCTTCAGAAGATATCTGGAGTTCTACGTCCTTGAATCAAAACTCACCGAGTTTCACGGTACTTTCACTCGAAACTCTTTCATATTTCCCAATATCACAATACCAGCTTATACCTATCTACTGTCGGTTCCTTATATTATATATCCACTCAGCTTTATTTATTATGATTTTATTCCAGGCACGTTTGCAGACGCTCAGCTTCCGTCCAAAAGAATAATCGGACCCAAGAATTTGGACTTCCTCGAATCCAAGAGAGAAGAGTTTGAGGAATATTTACAGGTATTTAAAACCTTGATTTTGTGAACAAAAGACACTTTAATTAATTTAATATAAGGAGTATTAGATTCATTTCTTTATCGTCAATAGAGGGCAGTAAAACAAAACAAATGTCAACACAAATAGGAAAGATGTTTAGTGGGAAGAAGCATTTTAAATGTCCTTATTATTACATTTATTTTATAGATTAAGTCTTCATATCTATACTCGGTCTATGAGCAATTACCATTTATTTCACTTAGTATTAAATGTAGTGTGTAGTGAGGAAAACAGCAGATAAGTAACATGTTTTTTTACATTTAAATTCATTATTTGGTAGGGGTTATAGGGAAAACTAAACACATAACACCACAGAGGAATACAGTAGTCAGTAATAATAACAATAATGAAAACTAATGATATCAAATCTGTTTGTGTCTCTCTCTCTCTCTCTCTCTCTCTGTGTGTGTGTGCAGAGGCTCCTTCAGCACGCGGAGCTCAGTAACTCTCAGCTGTTGGCAGACTTCCTGTCTCCTCACAGCATGGAGTCTCAGTTCCTGGAGAGAATGCTGCCCGACGTCAACCTGGGTTTGTGCTCACGATACATTTGTGACGGGATGATTTATTTACAAAATAACTACAAGAAACATAGACGGTCAAATAATAAATATAAAAAATTAAATAAAAACTGTACAGTGACGAGCATTATTGAAAACAGCAAGAAAACGTAGTGGCAGATTCGTAATTGCAAGTTATTATTGACCTTTATTACTAATCAGAGAGTGTTTTTTTGTAATGGTATTTATGCAAAGGAGCTGCATAGTTTCATTTCAGAGCGATCTGCACTGTGCTTAGAGATAATTTGTTTTAAAATGTAGTGAGGTAAAGTCAAAAAGTCGACTATCGAAAAAAACGACAAGTCCGGAACTGAACTCACGGTAGAAATACTTTATTACTTATCGGATCTTCACAAACAAGATATCAGCTACCAAGCTGAGATTCCACAGATTCTACAGGTATGAGTATCATCACTGAGCGATCAGAACTCGCGACAGGGGAAGCAAACCCAGACATCACACCACGTAGCTTTACTGAGCAAAAACTGAAAATGTTCTTAACTTTGCTGTTTTTCTGATCAAAAGTCGTGTTAATGGCATTAAAACGATAACAACGCTGCTGAACGATAATCCAATGTGTCTGTGTCACTTAGAAATGATTCCTGATAATCCATCATTCCATTTTTATGTCAATAACGGAGATTTCATATTAGCTGCTACCAGAGTGTATGACAGCTTCCGGTGTTGGGCATTCTGGCTGCGCATCACTCATTCACCAATGGGTAATGTTTAGATGGATTGTAGGAACTTCCCCTCGATTCTATTCGCTCTAACGGTTCTCAAGAGGTGTCAATCATCAAAATCGACGAGGGGGGCCAGAGATATGGAAAATGCACCCAAATGACCCCAGAAGTGTTTTTTTTTTTCTAAATCTCTCTAGAAAGGTCAAATGTCACTTGTTTTGCATCAATCTTGATACAGGGTACTTATTATATGTTATAGTTTGGATTCCTAAAGCTTTTAGTCTACTAACCCATCATTCAAGGGTAGTTTTCACTATAAGTAAGGTTTTTTTTTTTGGACGGACACTATAATTTACAGTTTTTTACTATGTTCAATCTGAATTTTCTTTAAAATAAAAAACATCTATATTGATTCTGACTTTTCTACATCCAACTCACAGGTTTATCATTACTTTGAGAAAAAAGATTATTAATGTAACCCTTTTAGAAGGGAAGATATGGTCATTTGTTCTGGGAATGGCCTTTTCGAGCCTGAGACCTGAAAAACAGGCTCAGGGCTGAACAGGTTAAAGGAAATGGAAATGCCTAATTTTTGTGATTCTGAATGAGAGCCGGGAGCTTCAGCCTTTTTTCTAAATATCAACATTCCTTCACTTTTTCCTAATTTTACTTTATTACTTTACTTATCTATCATTTAACTGATTTGTTTTTGTTTCACAGGAAAGATGTTTAAGTCCGTACCGGGGAAGCTGATCAAAGAGGTGAGTCCATTTCTGAGCTGTACTTAATATTGAACTTTAATTTAATCATATCTATCCTCAGTTTCGTGTCTTTAAACGTTATATTGTGAGAAAACGCTGCTGCTTCTTGAAGAGGAGTTGTTGTTGTTGTTGTTGTTTTGGCAGTAGAAGTCACTGGGGGTTATTATTATTATTATAACAGGGGTTAACCAGAGGACCTTCCGGATTATTAATCAGAAAACCTCCTCGGACTCCGGGGGCTTTATTAAGTTCCTCTGTGAGGAAAACAAATAATGATTCAGCCCCGAGAGATTTCTTATTATTCTCCCAGAGCGGCTCATTAGAGAAGTGACGACAACACAAGACGAAATCAGACGAGCTGAAATAAAGATTAGTTATACAGTCAGAGTGTGAGGGCTATTGTAGGTTATCTTAAAGGGGACCTATCATGCAAAATGCACTTTCTGATGTCTTTTATACATCAACATGTGTCCCCGGTGTGTCGGGGAACTCACGCAGCGTCAGGAAATAAAACCCTCTCTCTTTTCCTCCGTACCCAAATCTCTAAAAACGGGGCTACAACGGAGCTGATCCAGATTAGCGTCCGATATGACGTAATATCTGAAATGTGGACCCACGGCCCTATCAGAAACGTTGCTATCAGAAACAATGGCCGACTGTTTTGGACGTAATATGGTCGGTGTTTACATTAGCATCGCTAACACTCAGAGCTAACCTGTACTGGAGAGCATGTGTGTGAAGAAGCAGGAAATAAAAAGGAACTCACCTTGTGGTATAACCGGCAAGAGAGAAAGCCTTTGAGCTCCATACTGTTTCAGAGAGAATCCTTGATAATCCATGATATGGCGTTTCATCACGGCAGTATTTAGTTTAGACAGTAGCTGCCGGGTCCCCCATGAGCTCAGACCCCTCCTTTTTTTTTTTTTGTAAAGCTTTATACCAAAATCAGCACTTTAGAAACAGGAAGTGAAATAGAGGGATATGAGGCATGGCTAGAATGGGTGATCTGTTTGGTATTTTGAGCAAAACACTTCATAGACATGTTTTTTATATATTTGTATATATCTGAGACCTATGCTATTGCCTAGAAATAGCATGATAGGTGACCTTTAAAAAATATGTGGGGGTAATATTCCTATAAATATATCAGATATTGTAAGAGGTTAAAGTCCCCAATTTTACAAGAACAAAAATGGAAATATATGGAGAGAATATTAGATTTTTATTTATTTACGAATAGCGTAAGAGAATATGAGTGTGTTTTGAGCGAATTTATGATTCTATAATCTTGTAATATTTGAGTATTTGAGTATTTCTCCATTTTTGTTTTGTTGAGGAAACATACTCAAATATTATAAGATTATAAAATCATAAATTTGCTCAAAACACACTAATATTCTCTGACGTTATTAGTAAATAAATACATCCTTTAATGAAAAAAAGGTTGCACATTTACAAGTAAAAAAATCTAATATTCTCTCAGATTTAAGGGATACATCTACGAGAAAATCTCCCAAATTAATGAGAAGTTACCCAATTATTCTCTAGGAATAACCAAGACATTCTTTGAGATCACATTTCCTGATTAAACTTATAACACCACTTTTTAAAGGTTTTTCAATGTGTTTTAAAGGTTTTTTGCCTCTCAAATGAACAATATCAATCTGGTATATATATTCAAAATCTTTTCTTAATTACAACCCTTCTCTGACGCCGCAGTTTTTCAATTTTTAACCTTCGAATGTCTGTAACATTCCTTTATAAATCCATCCTGACGCTGACGATATTAACCCTTTACAGAAAGGACAGAACCTGGATCCTTTCCTTCAGTCTTTCTTCAACTCCTGCGAGTCTCCGAAAGCAAAACCCAGCCGCCCAGAACTCACCATCCTGAGCCCGTCCAACGAGAACAACAAGAAGGTCCTACACACACCTAACACACACTCTGTATACACACACCTAACACACACACTATACACACACCTAACACACACACTATACACACACCATCCTGAGCCCGTCCAACGAGAACAACAAGAAGGTCCTACACACACCTAGCACACACTCTGTATACACACACCTAACACACACACTATACACACACCTAACACACACACTATACACACACCTAACACACACACTATACACACACCATCCTGAGCCCATCCAACGAGAACAACAAGAAGGTCCTACACACACCTAGCACACACTCTGTATACACACACACCTAACACACACACCTAACACACACACCTAACACACACCCTAACACACACACCTAACACACACTCTGTATACACACACTATACACACACACTATACACACACCTAACACACACACTATACACACACCTAACACACACACTATACACACACCTAACACACAGCACACACACACACACTATACACACACTATACACACACAGCACACACACACTATACACACACTATACACACACTATACACACACCTAACACACACCTAACACACACACTATACACACAGCAAACACACACACTATACACATACCTAACACACACCTAACACACACACTATACACACAGCAAACACACACACTATACACATACCTAACACACACCTAACACACACACTATACACACAGCAAACACACACACTATACACATACCTAACACACACCTAACACACAGCAAACACACACACTATACACACACCTAACACACAGCATACACACACACTATACACACACTATACACACACCTAACACACAGCATACACACACACTATACACACACCTAACACACACACTAAACACACAGCAAACACACAATAAACAAAACACACACAACTTGGAACAATGTATTAGCTCTGATGTCCTCAGGGGAAACAAATGTGGAAAAGTAAAACAACTTCCTTGAAATTCCTATATATTATTTTCCTGTTTCACATATTTGATCCACTTCCTTCCCTCAGTATAACTATTATATATTTCTAAATTTAATTATTTGTGTATATAATTTTTTCTCTATATAAATGCAATTTTTAAAAAACATAATTACAGTGTTTTTTTTATTTGAAAAACCTGAAAAATATATTTATTTCTATATAAAAATGCAGATTTCTTTCCAGTGGGACATGTGAATGATTACATTGATTTCAATGCATCACATCATAGAGCAGCAACTATTCTGGAAACATGTCATACAGCATGTCTTTGCACCGTGACGTAAACATGACAAACTCAATGAATGGTAAAAAATCCCAAATTGTCCGTAATAAATCACCAGGGTTAAATAAAGCTTTCCCGTCTGCAGAGGATTCAAAGGTCTGTCTTTATCAGGTTTGAGAGGAAAGGAGTTGTCTTTCCCCTCGGGGAGTGTGACGGATAAACCATCATGTTTATCTCCATGGAGACAGGCATGATAAATGATGGTTATTTCCTGCGTGTCAACAGACAAGAAACAGATTCCCACTGGGACTAAATCCTCTATATTGGTCATTTTATGTACATTTTAAACAGAAATTAAACAGGGTGTCTGCGGGGTCTTAAAAAGTATTAAAAGTTGATAAATCAATTTAGCGACAATTAAGGCTATTAAAAAGTATTAAACAGCATTTTCCAAGGTATTACATTTTGTATCTAGTTTCCAATAAGTATATAAATGGTCCAAAGAGGTATTCTACAGTCTGCCTGAATGTAATCATTGCGTAGGTGTGTAGTGTGATTCTGTGTAGTTTATTTATGGCATCCCGTTGGGTTTGACGTCATCTGAACAGGACATCACACGCTCACTGCTTGATAGCGCGAAGGTCCGTTTACGCCGGTTGCTAAGCAACATCGTTATGGGGAAATGCAAGTCTGCGTCCAAATGGTTGGAAGATAAGGAGGAAGGGCAATCAATACTGTATATAGTCAATGTGAGGTAAAGTAACCGGTTAAAACTCCAAGTGGCGATGAGGTCTTAAAATGTATGGAAAGGGTCCAAAGATCCAAAAATACTTCAAGATCCAAAAATACTTAAAGTTCCAAATATACTTAAAGTTCCAAAAATACTTAAAGTTCCAAAAATACTTAAAGTTAAAAAAATACTTAAAGTTCCAAAAATACCGTAAATTCCAAAAATAATTAAGGTTCCAAAAATACTTAAAGTTCCAAATATACTTAAAGTTCCAAAAATACTTAAAGTTCCAAATATACTTAAAGTTCAAAAAATACTTAAAGTTCCAAAAACACTTAAAGTTCCAAATATACTTAAAGTTAAAAAAATACTTAAAGTTCCAAAAATACCGTAAATTCCAAAAATAATTAAAGTTCCAAAAATACTTAAAGTTCCAAATATACTTAAAGTTCCAAAAATACTTAAAGTTCCAAATATACCGCAAATGGTTGGAAGATAAGGAGGAAGGACGATCAATACTGTATATAGTAAATGTGAGGTAAAGTGTGTCGCCAAGGTAACCGGTTAGAACTCCAAGTGGCGATTAGGTCTTAAAATGTATGGAAAGGGTCTTAAAAAGGTCTTAAAAGGTTTTACATTTGACTTCAGGATTCCTGCATATACCCTGCTAAAGTAAGAAAATACACAAATTAAAGCAACTGTTTTTTATGAATGAAGTTATTCAAATGCAAAAAGTAGTAATACTGTATGTTAAGGAGTTAAAACGGACCTTATTGCTGCATAGTTTTGATAGATCAGTTAATTTAATCAATTTCTTTCCCAATTTGGGCACTGCAGCAGAGCACAATAAACAACAACATGCAACTCAAAGCAAGACAACAATATAAGAAATGTCTTTAAAAGGAGTTTTTCTGTAGGGTTAGATAATGCTAATAATGATAAAGAGGTAGCAGGAAGTGGTTTAGGATGTTTTTGAGAACATTTACCACTTTTAATTCACAGAAAATGTTTAAATGTATTAATATTGAAAATTAACTGCTTCAGTCTCAGGGAATATTTACTTTTTCTGATATATTCACCATATTAATGTCAGAGAGTTCTTTATCTTAAATATAGTCGTTTTTCAAGAGTACATTTACCACTTTAATCTCAGATGATATTTACATTTTTATAATATTTTCGTTCGTTTTTTCTTGTTAATAACCCATTTTAACCTCAGAAATAAAAACATTTTTTGTGTTTTTTTTACATTTTCATTTGTTATTCAAATATATTTAGACTTATTGAGATAAAATAGCAAATATACGAGAAAAAACTTGAAGATTACAAGAAAAAACTCAGATATTCCCTGAGATTGAAGGGGTACATCTACTCAACAAAATACTACATTTATGAGAAACAACGCTCTTTTAATTAAGATTCAGCCGTAAATATACGAGGAAAAAAATGGCAAA